AAATCAGCTGTTGAGAGGGATTTTGCCAGTGTAGACTTAGGAAAACCAGGAGCTGAAATATGTTCTATTCATAGGTGTGTCTGCAACTTGTTCGGTGTGCCAATTCCCAACCATATGTGCTTTTTACTGTGTTGCCTTTCAGTCATCAATTTGGAAATTGCTGAACCCTGTTTTTCGGGTTTCCGTTAACTTCTGGGATCATAACTGATTCAGGCTGAAAGGGATAGTAGCATATCATACAGTTCTGACCCTCTTCCTGCTGAAAGGAGGGTCAGAACTTGATACAAACCATATTGCTTGGAGCACTGTCCCCTCATGTCTTGAAAGCTTCCATAAGGGAAGATTCCATAGCTTCTCTGTTTCAATGCTAAAGTAGCCTTAAGACTGTTTCAAGTTCCATTTACTCAGCCTCCCTCTGGAGCCTGCCTTAAATCACATCAATACCATGAACATCAAGCTGTAGCAAGCTGCTTGTTGTCTTGAAAAAATGGTTCTCAAGACTAATTCAAAATCTCTTCTTGGTGTAGTCAGACCTTCATCCAGCTGTGTTCCCTGCACTGCTTGTACTGCAGTGACTCATGTTAAGACTCAGCTTCCTTAGCTGCCATTGTAGCCCAGCCTTTTAAAGTGACAAACACTAGCTGTATCATCTAAGATCACCCAAATGTATCTTGCTGAATTATCAGGTGCTGATTCTTAACATCATGGCATAATCTGTCTGGGTAATTTAACAGTTAATGCATATCAGGCTCTTGCTCCTGAATACTTTTTTACTGTATTTTCTGTCATACTGTAAATTAAAGTTCTTGGTGGTATTTCTGTTGGTTTATTCTCTGTTTAGTGAAATGCATGGTAATCTTGCTTGAGCTAATGGCACAAATGGTAGTCTGGATATTGCTGGTTTTTACAGGTGATTGTTACAGTATACCACCTTTCTGAATGCTATTATTTTCTTCAAAACAGAGTAGCTTTAAAGTGTTTTTGTCAAAATACTTCTGACTTCTTTGTTATCTTAAAAAATCAATGATGATGTGGCAGTTTCAGTTAATAATCCAAAAATGGCATGTTTTTTCATGTAATACAGTCAAAACGGAGGTTAAGGGAGAGATTGTAACTTTTTTTTCAAATTATTCTTTAAAAATGTTCCCATAAAAAACATAGCTAGTCCATGCTTTCAGAACCCTAGCACTTTTCTGGAATCTGAATGCTGACTGCAAAGCTTGAGTTATTTTCTTTTTCTAGTATTTCTGCTCTGGAAAACACTTTTACATAAAGTTTTATATGAACTCTGTCTCTGTTACCACTAGCGCATTTGTCTAGGTTGCTCTCAGAATCAGGACTTGAAAAAGAACCAGACTGGTGCAGGATCAGTTTGATAATTCCCCTGTCGTATTCCTGGGACTTAGAGATGCGTGTTAGGGAAAATGTGCTGTACCGAGGTTGGGCATGTGAGTCTCACTGGCTTTGCTTCAGCACGGGCCATGCTCTGAGATGGTTGTGATGGGTCTCCCTTCCAGTGGGCTTCAGGAAAGCAGTGTAGTGTAGACACACTGATGGACTTGAGCTGTTATGTCTGAAAAGTTCTAGTAACCTTACAGCTGTGTGATTAAGTCTGCCATGTTCCACCATTTGGAAGAAGCTGGACTGAGGTTTGAAAGCATTGGTAGACTGAAGTTTACTTCATGGATTTGGGCACGTTTGCTGCACCATCAGTTGTGTGATCTGTAGCATTGTTATCATATGGAATTTTCCACTACTCAGGATACCTTCATTCTCTCATTACAATAGATAATGGAGAGTTGATACATGAGACAGTGGAGAGCTGATTGTATTCAGATCTTATTTATGGAGTGTTTTAAGGATATTTGGGACAATTGAATGTGATAGGTGAGTAACAAGTCCTTGATACTGAATTATTATGTGTAGGCCCGAGCAAATACCATAGATCAGGTTTATGAGTCAGTTGTCCCAATGAGAACTAAACAATGTTTGTAGTACAGCCAGGAAATAATTGAAAGTGACTTGGTTTTGTTTTGGTTTTTAATAGAAATGGAAGTATTGCAACACAAATTGATTAGTGTGTTGAACAAAAGGACGGCAAGATGAGGAAGGCAGGGCTTGGGGAAAAGAGTGGTGAAGCTTGGTGCATGTTTTTACATTACTTTTAAAATTTGCTGTCAACTGAGAAATGTATATCATAACTTTAAAAAAGTATTTCCGTATTTACAAATTGCAAATGTAATACCTTTGTGAATCAAGTATCCTGTTTCAGTATAATAGCTCTTCATTTGCAGATACATCCTTAATGTATACAGCATTTAAAGATGAATGACAGTGAATAATTCAGGTAAATACTGTGTAGGGGGCTGTCTTTCTTATTTAAATACCTTGGTGCAGTTAAATAATTTTGTCATCTATCTAGGCAAAAGATTTTGAATTAGTGTTTACATATTTGCCCTTAGCTGAACTCCTACAAGATTTTATTCAGAGTAACAGGTGAATGTTTTATGTTCTAAACTGCTTAAAGTATAAATCTGCTGAAAATCTAAGCCACCTCTCTCAAACAAGCAAACAAGACACCATCTCCCCATGGAACCAAATAAAAATATCAGGCAGGTAAAGGGTTTATTGAAGAAGAAGGATAGAATGGTCTGCTCTTGATTAATTGCAAGCAAACAATAATAAGAAAGAAAGGATATCCTAACAGCCTTTTGGTTTCACAAATTACATTTTAAGCATGAACAATTCTATTGATTGTTTTCTTTGAGGCACAAACTGCAAACAATCACTTAATAGTATCTCGAGGGTGAATGAGCCTTATTGGATTAAGTAACAGGAATATCCCATTGCACCTTTTTTTCTGTTCAGTGCTCAAGTGTTTATTTTGCCTTGCCTTTCATTTTACCTTGTAACAGTCCTTATTCAGTAATCTATCCACATTTGATAAAGTTGTTAATGTAGTCAAATTTATGCTCTGCAGAGCTGTCACATGCTTCTAAACATCAGTTGAGAATGATGCAGATTTTGGATTTTTTAAATTCTAATAGAATGGGAGTTTGGTGTGAATAGTTTGGTAGGCTAAAACCAAGGTGAATTAAAATATGTGGCATATATCTGAACTTACTGAGATGTGATGTTTTAATAGAAAACTGCAACAAAATATTTCATGTAAACCATATAAATAATTTTACATTATTTTAATACGTGAAATAACAAGCAGTGTGCTTTACCATGACAGGCTGGTCATTAGGATCATGGGAAGATGCAGCCAGTAGTGATAAGGAATCAGGCTCTTGATGAATGTTTACTGTGGATCCAAAAATGACACTGTCAAGCTGGGGCTGGTGGAAAGTATCTTCTTGCTGAGGCTATTGTACATTATCATGTATCATGTTTCTTCAGCATAGGTGAAATGAGTCACTAATTGAATGATGGAAGTCTCATCTGACCCAGAAAAAAAGGAGTGCATCACTGTACTATGCTGCATCCTCCTGGGTTACTGTTGAGAGGGCACTCTTAATCTTCTCAATTCTGTATACTCTTGGAGAAGATAATATTGAAATCTTAATGTTAATTCATATTTCTTTAACCCAATACAAAATTAATAAATTTACTATTTATTAATCACTTAGGGAGTGTATTTGGAATCATGTTTGACCTGTGGGTTTCGAAAAATGAAATATGTGACTAGTAACTTGCAGTAGGTTAAGTTTTGCTCTAGTTTTTAAAGGTAGGATTCACTTAATCTCTTATCTCTAACAATGTTACTGGTTCATTATAAAGCATTCCTTGATATATATGTTTTGACGAGACTAAAGTTGACTTTTAATTTTGTGAAAGAATTAAAGTAAGGGCTTTTTCACTGGCTGATTATTAGGCTAATACATAGTCACATCAGTCCCAGATGGGGAGCTTCAGTTGAAGTGCTAGAAGCCAAAATCAGAAAACCACAAATACATTGGTTTGAATTTGGATTTTTGGGGATGATGAAAACTATGACTTTGATTAGGTGTACACTGAGAGTGAAATTTGAAGGTCCTAAGGGCATTTAGGACCATGCTCCTGCCAAAGAAGGCGGGGTTTTCTTCCTCCCTGTACCTGTGTTTGTGCTGCCTCCCTTTCACTGGTCCTAGTGTTTGTGGAGTTGTGTTGTAGGTCACATCAGCTCACTGAGGAGCTGAAGCTAACTCCTCAAACAAAAATAAATTATCTGAAATGGGATGAGATGGTTAGAATGTGTCATCTAAGGTATTTGTGGGTGCTTATGTTGTGTAGAGGCTTCCATAAAACCAGTCTGGTGTCAGTTAAGGATTTCTTAGATGAAAATCAAAGTTGGAAGTGGTATGGAGCTGAATAAGATGAAAAATGGTTTAGAGATAGGGTAGAGACTCCAAAGACTTGTATTGGGGTTTTTCTCAATTTTAGGCTCGAAGCCTGCAGTTCCTGGCTTTGATAGCATAAAGGTACTGTCATGTTTTGCCTAGTGTGACCCTTTATTTGCACTTTTGCATAGCTGGTGGCTACAAACCATACAGGGAGTGTCTGGTAAGCGGTGTGTTTTTAGGGGATCCTGGAGGAGGGAGTTTTACAAAATGCAGTTTCACCTCCTTCAGTGTCAGAGCTGATTATTGCAGTCCTGTAGATGTGCAGATCCTTCTGAGACTCCTGTAGTGTAGGTGATTGTCCTGATTTTTCATTCATACCAGTTTCCCAGTGTAATTTATTGCAGATCTTTACAAGATATGCCCCAACTCTGTGGGGTATGGAAAAGGTAGTGTTGGGACTTCTTTTTATTCATGTTTGACTACTACTTTGGTTAATAATTTTAAAAAATAAAATATAATAAGATAAAAGTCAAGTAAGATAGTATTAGGCTTTGTAGACTTCCTTGATCTGTTCCTCTTTCCCATTATCCATTCTTGCCTTTGTCAATATATCTGTATATGGTAAATGAGATGTACTATAGCACATCTGTTGCAAATCACTGTTTTTTGCTTTAGCTTTTACCAGATTCGTGCATCTATGAAAATTCCTCCAAGAATTCCACACATATTGGAAGCTAGTTTGTTACATGGAACTGGTAAGTGTAAAAACTTTTCAGTAAATTAGGTCATTATCTTGCCTTGCTAATTGAGGAATTGCACTTTTTGTTGTATATTTTTATAACTAATACATATGTGTTTCTATTTTTGTTACTAACACAATGCAAATATATCTTGTTCTTAACAATAGGACTTAAAAGTTGATTACAGAATTTGTGTTACTGTTTTTCATCTCCTGATTGTCTCTGCTGGTAGCAAAACCTGGTGATTCCTTTATATGAGTGTCTTCTGGATTTTTCCATTGATCAGCTCAGTCTTCTCCATATTTCAGGCTAAGATGACCAAAGGCAGATCTAAGTAGATATCTGAAAGCAATGGAGAATTTCAGATGCAGACTCTTACAGAGATTGATAAGCCCATTCTTTTTCTGAAAAGAACACTTTGAAAGGATGCAGTTTTCAAAATTACTCTGTTGTTCTCTAGTGGTACACTTGAAAATTGATTTAACCTCCTGAACAGATTTCCCTTATCTTTTTTGCTTTTTAAACCTGTCATTCACTTTTGATTTCTATGTCCATGCAAACTAAATCCAGAGAAAGCTGTTGGTGCTCACCTAATTCTGTGTAGGCCATACCTCATCATGGTGTAAAAATGTGAAAAACAAAAAATTAATTAAGTTTTCAAATGTTACATAGAATTATGTGAATTTCAAGGAAGAAAAACCTAATACAATCTGAGAAAATGTAACTGAATACAGTCTGATAGGATGTAACCGAAACTGAATGTTCGAGGCTATTTTGAAAGTAGCTCTGAGTACAGCAACAATGTAGATACTGGGTTTTGGTCAAGCTTCCTAAATATTTCTTGGATTTGTGTGAGATAAATGAATAGTTCTAATGAGCCAATATTACTCCACTTCAAAGGTGAAGTTTAATGTAGTTTAGAATTTAGGTCTGGTAAACATCCTTTAGTAAAATACAATCTTTAAGAAGTGACACTGAATAATATGATTGATATTGTGGGGAAAAAATTTTTTTCCATTTCATGATATATTTTTGAATGGTCTTAGGTTATTTTTTCAGAAAGCTGCAGTCTTTTTAGTAAATTGTGACATATGTGTTAGCTCTTGTTTCTTGTTACTGGACATAAAGGGTATAAGGATTAAGACTGCAGTTTGATGGAAGTTTAGATCAGCAGTTCTGACAAAAAAAAAAAAACAAAACAGCGCTTGATTCCCTCTGGCCACTGTGTCTTACCTTCATATTGCTCTGCATGGTTGGCACAAGTGTCTGATTTGGTCTGGGAACTCAGCTGGGGAACTCATTTAGCTGACAAGCAGCCGTTTTACAAAAAACCCAAACCCCTTCAAACCCAAAAACTGGGGCCCTTTTTCAATCAGTTTCTGAGTTCTGTTTTTCAGGTAGTTACTGATAATGTTTGTCCCACAACAAAGGAGAAGGAAGGGTACAGGCTGGTCAGTGAAAGGAGGTTAGTTTGTCCTTCTTGTGAGCAGTGCTTGCCAAGAACATCTGCTTTCCATTTCCATTTAGCCACTTGCTTGATTTAGCAGAGCTGGATGCTGTAGGCTCAGATGCAGCCCTCCTGCTCTAGGAGGAGGAATAGCTGATAGCAATTCCTGGGACTGCTGCTGTCTGTAGAAAATAGCTGCTATTGGTCTCAGCATAGAGTAGCACAGTGCTGATTCACTGTGTGAAAATGTTGCTTGCTGACCACAGAGGAGGCTGGTCAGGATCCCCACTCTTGAGAGTGGTGTTCTGTATTGATCAGGTGCTTCTTTCTGTACATTCCTCTCCTTTCAGTCTTTCTCACACTTGCTTATTCTAAATCCTGTTCACTTTGTCATGTCATGATTTCCCCACTCCTCTCCAAGTAATTTTGCCTACTTCTAGCTCTCCCTGGACTCTGCACAAGTTATCTGCAGTTTCCTTACTTTGGCTGTGTTATCCCCTCTCCTACAGACCATTTGTTTCATCTCTCTCCTCCTTTTATTTTCCCAAGTCATATACACAGTCATAAGTTTTTCCTCTTTTTCCAGTTCATTTTTATCTCCTTTCACCCCTTGTCCAGCTCTTCATGCAGTCCTTCATTAATTTAAATAAGTATTTTTTTCTGTTTCTATTTCCCACATCTTTTAGTAGCTCATGAGAACTGCTTGGGATTCAGCATGAGTGTCATTACAGATAGAATAAGGCAATTCACTTGCTTTAGCTCCAGTCTTGTGAAGGTCTTTTATTATTCTTGTAATTTGAAGGAAGATGTAGTTTTGCTGTATAAAATGAAAAGAAAAACATCTGTATTTTTAGCCTTTATGAGGTTGTTTCAGATTTGAGGATGTTCTGAATTCCTCCTTCTCTCAAAAATTCATGGCTGGTTTTCAGATAAAAAAAAAGGGGGAGGAAAAAGCAGCAAAGGCAGAGTAGGAAGGAAAGAGGTTTTATGATGCAAGAGTAAATTAACTTGTGAAATATAAATCAATAAATATATATATATATAAATCTAGTAAATTTATATGCAAGAGTAATAAATATGTAAGGGTAAATATGTCATTTATATGCAAGAGTAAAAAAAATCCCACCTTTTTTTCTCCGCTGCTGTGGAAACAGCCTTTTGTGTGGATAGAAGCTTAGGAATAGTCCTGGCCAGTCAGTGCATCATTGATTTAAAAGACAGCAGTTCTGCCTTGATGACCCCACACTTGTGAGACCTTGCTCCCAATGTGGAAGAGGCTCAGCCTGTTCCTGACTCAGCTTTTGCTCTGCAGCTCCTCTCTCTCTTCTGGGGGTGCCGGTTTGTGTTCCGCTGAGGTCAGCAGAGCTGGGGGCTGTAACTCAGGGCTGGACACTGCAGAGGAAGAGAGGCCTCAGCCATTTGTCTCCATTACTTCTTTTGCTTCAGACGGGAATGGGAGATCCCTTTTGCTGATGCTGTGCAGTTATATCAGATTATGTGCCAAGTGAAACCATACCTGCTCTGCCCTTCAGCTGTAACAGATGACACAGATGGATGTAAGCTGAAAGTGGCATTATTCATAGGGGAATTACACTGTAATGATTCAGCCTTTGTAAGCACTTTGTCCAGGACACCTAAACTGATGATATGTATGAAAACACTTCAGCAAAACCCAGTATTTGTACATTTCTGAAGAGAAGTTGAATTAAGATGTTACTAAGAGTGGGAATGTTTGCCAAGGGCAGTAATATTCTACCAGAGGCCCCAAAGCTATAGACTGCAAACTGCAGATTTTTTTTTTCCTCTTATGGATTCCTTTGAAGTAATTTATTAAGAAGAATCAAAAGAATTTTTAAAAATCTTTTGCACCCTCATTTACATGATTTCCAATACATTTTGTCATGGAAGACATTGATGTTATTGAGCCATTTTTAAGAGGAGGTATAAGTGTCAGTATTTCTGTTACTTCTGTTCTTCCAAGTTCCAACTTCTTTTAGGTTTCTTCATAGTACCCATCATGATAATTCCTGTGATAATCCTTTGCTTTTATGATAATCATTTCCTCAATGACTGTTTTAAATCATTCCCTTTATCATTTCTTCTGCAAGTCTTTTAACTCTTTTTTTTCAGCAAAAGATTACCCAACCATTTATCACATTTTTCTGAACTCTTTGTGATGAGTAGCCTTTGAAGTGTCATATTCCATGTGCAGTGCCAGGTTCAAGTGACAGGCTTGGAATTAGTTTGGCGTGAGTAAGATGCAAAGATCTTGAAAAGAAAGAACAAACAATCTCTGTTCTTGATTGATTCAGTCGAGTGGTATATGCCATTTAACCTCTTTGCCTCATCTGTAGGTAATTTTGTTTTCAGTGTGGTTAAAACCTGCAAATTAACATGAATGCCAGATGAAACAAGACAGAATTCAGGATTTTTATTGCAATTTTTGATGCCTAGAATGTCTTTAGTTTGTAGCAAAGCAAAAATTCTTCAGAATTTATATTAAAAGCAAATTATATTAAAAATATTGACAGTGTTTCTTTGAAACAAAATGTACCCCTTCAAACTTCATCAGTTGCTGGCTGAAAAGAAAACCACTTATGTTACTGATTTTGTTACAGTTTTAATAGTAATCGTGAAACTGATGGAAATGATAGTTCCTCTTACTAGCTGCTCTGAGTTTTCCAGTTATATTAATACTTGTTTCTTTCTTCAGGTGCAACAGATCTTGCCTTTCCTGCTTCAGTCCATGACAATATAGTTTGCAGTAAAACATTTCAGATTCTTTACAAAAATGAGGAAGTTGCTGTGAATGATGTGATGATTTTCAAAATAAAAATGCTGTTAGATGAGAGGAAGGTAATCTGCTGTTCACATTTACTATATTCAGATAATTTAGGTTTTGTTATATACAATTTGAATTAGTAAAAATAAGGGACCTGAAAGATTTCATGCTTCTACAATTTCTTTGTAGATTGAGGAGTCGCTTAATGAAATGAATTTTCTGCTAACATTAGATTTACACTTCACGGATACAGACTACTCGTAAGTTTAAATATAGAAGATTTTATTAAAGCAAGAATATACGTTAACTCCTTAATCTGTTTAAATCTGTATTATTTATAGGTGTAGTGTGTTCACATTAGACATAAATGATAGTAAAAAAGAAATCTAATTCTGAAGTCTCTTAAGATTTCATAATTGGTTTGTCTCATTCTAATATTTTTTCTCTGGGGGTGATGCCATTGTGTTCCAAAGTATGGACTTATGATAAATTGCTGTTTGAGTCAGTTATTAATAACTTGCACTCTAAATATGATTGTTCTAATTGTATGTTGTTCTGTTGATTTCTTTTTTAGACCTGATGACCTGAGCACACTACAGCCAATTAGTAGCCGAACTTTAAAGTTGCACTTTAACCTACACCAGGGCCTTCATCATTACGTCAATGTTATGTTTGACTACTTCCACCTCTCTGTCATATCGGTTATAGTCCACGCTTCTTTGGTTGCTCTGCATCAGCCATTGATAAGGTAATCTCTCGCTAATAAAATACAAATAAATTCTTGAATGTCCAAATGGAAATGTTACAAAACCAGAATAATTAGGAAGAAGTTAAATATATGAACAGTATTGTTTTCTATGATGATTTTGGAATTCAGGGCACAGACGGATGGTAAACTTTTTGTTTTTAAAATTATCTGAAACGATTTCTGAGGGTTTTTTTAATTAGAAGTAAGAATGTGTAGTATAGAAGAGAGAGCATGCCCAAGGCCAGAGAAGTGGAGGAATGTATAAATATCTATATTTGTATATACATATATTTATATGTATAAATATTTATTAATTTTTTTAATCAGGAAGATCTGCTGCACACTGTACTCAGTGACTGAAATAGCTGCTGTTAATACAAACAGGGTGCCTTCTGTCAACTATCTTCACGGTTTTCAGTTACTGCTGGAATGGCAGTGATGTCTGCAAATGATAAATTTACCTTTTTTTTAGTAAATGGAACTGGAGAATTAACTTTTCTCTTTAAAAAAGATTTTGGCTGTTTTTTGCTGAAGCCTTTTAATTTCATCTACTTGTGTCAACCTTTGCAATCTCTATTTACTTTGCATCTCTCTCTGTGTGAAAAAGGGCTGTACAGTCAGTTACACCTATTAAGTGTTTTTTGCACACCTTTTTTTAGCATATCTATCATTTCCTTCTTTCATGGTCTCCAAATACTCCATGCTACTGCCCTCAAGTTTCTTTATATTCAAGTCCAGTCTGTGCCTTAAATGCTCAGACCTCTAGCTTCAGGTATTCCCATTCCTTGTGCCTGTTTTCACATCATGGAAAGCACTATCTCTGTGTATGTTAAACAGCTGTTCTGTGCTGTAGGGCTGTGCTGCTCTGGAGGATTCAGCTGACTTTCATGAGTTTTTTGTCCTTTTTTTCCCCCTGCAAGTTGGTTTGAATTACTTTGGTGACGTGTTTTAGGCATAGTTATACAGTAAATGAACTAACACATCTGAAGAGATGGCGCAGCCTTATTTGAGAGAGAAACAAGTACTGAGAAGGTGGGAATTGTTGTTGAAGACATAATCTGATAAATGCACTTTTTCGTGCACTTAAAGTAGCATCATGTATGTAAAATGTACATGATCACACTGTCCCACAAGTGGCATTCAGACATTTAACCTGTATTGATCATTTGTTGTCAGAAAATGAGAAACAGGTTTTGATACTAATTTTTATTCAGAAATGCATTTGTCCCTACTGACCTTTTTAAAAAGTTGCAGTAAATTTGAGGGGTTTTCTATGCATTTTCCCTCAGTTTCTGGCTTTAACAGCATCTTCTATGCTGCTTTTGTTATCTTGAGAGCAGGGTGTTGCTGTGTCCACAAAATTGTTTATAGTATTCAAGTTGTGCTTTATGATGGGGAGAGGAAAAAACTTTAAAACTTACAGTGTCTTATTTCAGCTGAGCTCCCCCATGTAGCAAATACTTGATGTATCCATATCTGGCTTGCTTTTCTGGAACACTTCTTTCTGAAAAATCTGAGAATTGCAGATGTCACTCCTTTGGGCTTTCATGGGTGACAGTTTCCTCATCTGTTTGGATCATGCTCACATTATTGGCGCCTCTTCCTTTCCTAGGGGTGGTCACTTTTTGACGGTTTTCTTCTTCTGACTAGCATTCAGATTCACCTTCTGTTGGAACAACCAGTGTTAACACTTCCCTTGAAAGAGAAGATAATTCTACTTGGGTACAGCCCTGTACTCCTGTATAATCTGTACTTTTCTTTAACCTGTAATTGCTTGTTTCTGCCTGTTATCTAATAGTCCTCACTTTCTGCATTCATTCATTTTTCATTCGTCTTTCCTAGTTTTTATCACAAGGCTACTGTTGCAGGATGCTCTGTTCTTCCAGGAGTTCAGGATAGGATCTCCTCCTCAGCAGGCAGAGGTCAGACATCCTTTAGGAAAACAGCAATATCAGTTTGTGTAACAGCTTTGAACTTCCTGCTACTGCTTCACATTTTAAGAGGTTAAGTCCTCACAGCAAAATCCACAGAAAATGAATACTTTATATCAGTTGTAGTTCAAAATTTATCTTTCTGGCTTAAACTTTCAGGAATGTTGTTTAAATTAATTGAAGTTTGCATTGGAAGTAATGAACATACTGTTCAGATTATCAGTTCATTTTGTGCTTTTTGCAGTTTTCCTCGCCCAGTGAAGAATACGTGGTTGAACAGGAATGCACCAGCACAAAACAGGGACTCTGCGATTCCTTCTCTTGAAAGTGTGGTCTTTGGCAATAACTACACAAAACAATTATCAGCAGATGTAAGATTAAATATCAGTTTAAAATTTTATTTGTATTCTGTGGGGAGGTGTGAATTCTATCTTTTCTTCAGGAATATTATTTGATAAAGAGTGAATTTTGTTACAGTTGTTTTGGGGTGGCATGTGAAAAGGGAAATGAGAAAAAATTGTTCCAAAAGACTGTGTTACCTGCTTCAGGAATGTACTTATGGGAAGCTTGCAATATTAAGTGTTTGACCTCCTTTTTTAATGTCTTGCAATCCATTGAAAATCACAAAAATCAAGTTTGTCAAAAGAGGCAATTGCTTATCTTTTTAGTCATTCTGCTAAGAATTCATTTCTTGTACAAAATTAATATGTGCCTTTTTTATTCTAGGGTTGCAGTTTTGTTGTTTCAGAATCTTTCCTCAGCCATGCTTATAATTTCCACTATACACTTTGTGCCACTTTGCTGCTTGCTTTCAAAGGGTTACATAGATATTTCATTACAATAACTAAGGATCTCCCCTCTTCTCACCGAATAGAACTGGGTATGTTCAATTTCATAAAATTTATCACTTTCTTGTGAATGCTTATAAGACCTCTTCTAGATTAAACTGTCATTGATGGCATATCTCATGAATCTAAAATGTTTTTTGCTTAAACTGATCTGAAATTTAATAACTGAAGAAAAACAAAGGAACAAGTACTATCTCATCTCTAATAAAATAAGGATATAACAGCCTTAATCTGTGGAAATACATTTTTTCCTTCTTGGTCTTGATTTTCTCTTGTTTCAAATTACTGTGTTTAGTGGTGAGAAAGTTAGAGAAGCTCCTAATCCAAGTAGCACACTGCACTTCGTTTGTTGTAAGGAAACATTGCATATTTGTACAAAAATCTAAATTCTGTAAGCTTTGAGGAGCATATTTCACTGAAAACTTACATGAAAAAGAACCTACAAGAAAAAATTGCTGCTGACTTAGTTTGTAGTTTAACATTTTAAAAAGACTTAGTTGCCATGAAGACTTCTAGCTAACTGCAAATGTATTCCATGTAATGTATGGAAATGTACATGTACATTCCTTTTCTGTAGAATGAAGATATATTAGAGAGCCTAACCTTGATTTGTGAACTAGAAGAGCAGTGGAAGTAAGAAAGGAAAATACACTGGCATCGTAAACAACGATTTAGACTTTTTCCTCAGAAACCATATACTTTTTTTTAGTCATGTTCTGCTAAAGAAAAAAAAAGATCATTTGGCATTTATATGGATTGTAGACAGTACTTACTGATTTTTGTATTGTTAAATTTTATCAGTGTCAGAACTAAGCACAGTGAAAGAGTAAGGTTGGTGCTTGAGATATGAAAAATATTTTTAAAATGTGATGTGGTCAGTTAGTGATTCAAAGAAAGAATGTTTCACTTCTCTATTACAAAATACAAAGCTATTTGTGGTGGAAAAAAAATTCAGGAAGCGTATTACAAATCTGTCCATAGAAAAATACTAGAAACTGAGGCATTTTCTTTATAGAAGCAAAAATACTGCTACATTTTTTTGCCAGTTATCTTAATTTTTGTATGGAGGGAAACACCTTATTAAAGGAGTGACTCAACTCTTAGTTTTCCTTGTAAGGTGAAAATATACTTTTTCCCAAACCATAGAATCAGAGGGTCATTTAGGTTGGAAAAGACTTCTAAAGATCATGAAGTCCAACAATTAAGCCAGCAACACCATGTTCACCACTAAACCACATCTCCCAAGTGTCATATCCACATGCCTTTAGAATGCTTCCAGGGATGGTGACTCCACCACTTCCCTGGGCAGGCTGTTCCAATGCCTCACCACTCTTCAGTGAAGAAATTGTTCCTAATATCCAATATGAGCCCCCTCTAGTACAACTTGAGACCATTTCCTCTTATGTCACTTGTTACCTGGGAGAAGAGGCTGACCCCCACCTGGCTACACCTCCTTTCAGGCAGTTATAGAAGAGCAGTAAGAGCTCCCCTGAGCCTCCTCCTTTTCTCCAGGTTGAGGAACCCCAGCTCGCTTTGCTGCTCCTCACAGGACTTGTGCTCCAGACCCTTCACCAGCCTTGTTGCCCTTGTCTGGATTTGCTTTACCAGCTCAATATATTGAGTTTGATGGCACTGTTGTTCTAAGGATAGGCTTAGACTAAATCTTGATACGTAAATGTTTCAGATATCATCTTCAGTTCCCCTAAAACATTCCTTCAAAATATATATGTAATAGAAAAAAGCTGTCATTGAGTTGCATCCTGGCAATACAATATTGGGTTGTATCTTTCAACCACATTGAAGTCACCTAAACCACTCACAAGCTTCAGAGGAACTTGAATCAGACCTTTTCTAATCTATATGGGTAATTTAGCTTACCTTTAGGAATGTAGTTTTGAACAGAAATGTTCACAATAAATATCTGAAGAGAAAATTACAACTTAGATTTAGCATTCATTGTACAGACTACTGACAGATTGTTTCCTGTGGGTTTAATTTATTTTTATTTTTTAAGTCTCTGATAGAATTATTTGGTTTTTAATATTTATAAATATATTTTTCATTTATTTTTGTTATTTTGTTTGTACATTGATTGGGACAATTAATATAATAAAACCTACTAATAATGTAAGCTTTAATTATTACTCACATTTTGCTTATGAAAAATAATACCTACCATTAACACTAATGTTCCTAAAATCCATCAGCAGTTAAGAAAAAAAAAAAGCTATGTTTCTGCTAAGTTTCTATAAAGAAATTGAGGCTCACCGGACTTCACAAAGTACACAATTGTAATTTGCGTTTTGGTTTTTTTTTTTTAATTTTTAAAGTAAATGAACTTTTTTATAGTGGATATTTTATCTTTGAAGTTTAAATGGGCATTGCAGAAAAGAATATCTGGCCCTGTTTAAACTTCAGAATCATCACTTTTTTGTTTAAGATAAAATTATTCTCTCTTTAATTTTGCTTCTTCTGTTTGCTTTGCTATTTCTCTGTCATAAAATTTTAACAAGGCACTGATTTTGCAGAAGCATGTGAAGACAGTTGTTGGACTCGATAACTGTAATTGAGCATTTAAATATTACTGGTTTCAGGAAATAAAAAAAAAGCTATCTTAATGTGTATCACAAGTGATACTTAATCTAGAAACTCCACTAAAATGATATGTTTTCATGTACTGATCTAACTGCACTAATTGCTAGGCTAGCAATAAGCTCTTTTACTAACTTTAAGGCAAATAATAAATCACAGGTGAAAAAGGAGTGTAGTAACTAGTCATGTGTGTACAATCCCTGTAACTAGCCAAGGCCAGCATGCAGGTCCTTTATGAACGCCTTCTCAGAAGAAAATATCCACGAACCCAGAGATTCGCCTACCTAGGTATGTTTCCAAAGCAGGTGATATAATCCCTCAGATTTTATTGATATTATAGAATACTATATTCTTATTAATGATATAAAATGTTACTCCTTTTGTAGAAAGAAAAAAATTCAATATTCAGCCATAGCAAACATACGTTGAACTCTGAAGTCTGCAGAATTGAGCTACTAAATTTTAGGCTGAGTGTAGATGATAAAATGAGACATCACTGCTGATTTTTTGTTTAGTGTTGTTCTACTTGACTAAACAAAAATGAGTGAAAGTTCAGTCAGTCATCAACATTTTAAAAATAGCTTAAAATTATAACTTCATTTAATGCAACACAGACTCATTTTTTTAGCTATTTAAAGATAATTAATACCTCTGCTTTCTGAGAAATCTTTCAGATTCCTTCTGGTATCTCAAGTCTTAATTCTTCCGAACACTGCACAAGGCACTGTCAGTGTTTAGGGTGCATTTGTCCATACCTACATGGGCCAGTCCTCCTTCTGGACAGTCAGTGTGGGCTTGATGCTGGACAAAAGATTACAGTGCTATATAAGCACAAGGAGGTTTCTCTTGGGAAAAGGATAGAATACCTTACTCATCTATAAGTGTGTTTTGGTTTTAATATAAAAAGGAAACCAAACTGGTTTTTAGCAGAGCCAGCAAAATTGCGTCAGATGTTTGCTGGTAACATTACTGCTATAGAATTTAAGTGCTTTATTTCCTTTTGTGTTGTGTTAGCTCTATTCGGTCTTCTCTTTTTTAATATAGCATTGGGATATTAATATAGTTTGGGGTTTTCCATAATGGTTTTAGATTTCAGAGTTTTAAACCTTGTTCAACAAGCCTATTCTCAATTGAAGTGTGACAAACAAATAATCAGTATGGTGTCATAAGCAAACCATATAATTTTTTCTGTGGCCATTCCAAAATTAGTATTATAGCTTAAATTATTTTCACATATTTTCAGAAAAATTATCATGAGGTACTTTTTAGCAAAAGGTACATGTAGTTTCTTTAAACAACTTTTTTCAACTTGTTTCTGAGAACATCATACATTTCTGCAATTTGGTTTTTTTCTCAGAACTCTGTGTTGTGTGAGTTAATTCGTGTGGCATTAAGTTCAAACCTAAGATGATGAATGCTGTTAGTTCAAAATCAATATATACTTACCAAGTATAGGTAGCATAATTAAAAGAAGTTGAGTAGACACCCTGTTGCTGTTCTGTAAACCTTTGTTCATTAGCCACACTTTGAAGTCACTTTTGGGGCTTTCAAGGCGTATTTTGTTGCTGTGTGTTTTCAAGAAATACTGAACATTTTTGTCCTTAATACTGTGTTTCAAAAATGAAATATGAATTCTTGTTACAGGCAATTTTAGGGTTTATTAATTGTTCCCTTATTACTCATACTTCAGATGCAGAAGGAAATTAAATATAATACCAAATTATTATTTGATTTATCAAATCCCCCAAAGTAAACAGGGCTGTTTAACAAGGAAAAACATCTTCATGAAGGAATATATCTGTTTTCTTCAAAAATGAGTCATTCAAGGTTCAGATCCAGTTTAAGCTGCCATGCTGTGTTAGATTGATTTGCTCTTAAAACTGAGCTACTGAGAGAGATTGAACTACTGAGAGATTGCTTAAAGAACAGTTTTATTAACTAAAAAAATTAATTCAACTAAAGATTTGTATTTATATTCATGTGTCTTGTAAATTATGTACCTTTAGAAAAATGATATGGTAATAAGACTTCTGTAGAAAATCTGGTAGAAGAGGAATTGTATTACCCTGGTTTTAAATTATGACATTGCTGCTGAATAGCAGTGGATAATCTGAAAACTATCATCTGAATTGCAATATTTTCAAATTTAATTTTGAATGGAAAATTGCTGTCCTTGACAAGGTGTCATGATAAGCAATCATGATAATTGCAAATTTTTTCTTAATTATGTTCTGTCCTCAATCTCAGAAATTGCTATAAGAATTTTAATGAAAGTTTATAGTTTATTTAATAACTGTGGCATTTAATATGGCTTCAAGTTTTATTTGATGAATTCTTTTTCATGTCTTAAAATTGTTTTGTGAGATAATTTGTTTCACTCTGCAACTTGGAAAGTACATTACTCATGAGTGTGTCCTCTCATCTTTCCAGAAAACATAGATGTAGAAATCCGTCTTACAGAATTGTGTGAAGAAGTCAAGGTACAGGGCTTTTTTTCATGTATTAAATAAGTGAAATAACTATAAAAGTAGAATGTGCTGATTTTATATGCTACTTGGGAATAAACTGTTTGTTTTAGGGATGACAGCACCTATGATTTTTCCTGGCACTTATTTAAACTCTTCCTCCAAAGAGAAATTGCACAACTGATGCCAAAACTGAACTGTTGATCTGGTGGATTGGTGTGTCAGTGGTATCTGTGTAACTATTTATATCATGAAAGTGAAAGTTTAGAAAGGTGGACTACTTGTATGAAAATCACACTTTGAATTTTCTGCAGTTATAATTTGATGTTTTGGGATTTGATGGTATCAAATAACAATGATGCAAGATCAAGCAGTAGTAAGTTTTACAAAAGGAGATTCTGCAAGTCATCCCCTCATGTAAAAGTACTTGTTCTAGTGCTGTCTCCTTTTCCTGTTTTCTCTACATTCTTAAGGAAACACTGTCTACTTTAAATGGCTTAGATTTGTCTCCCCATCTCTCTCCTTAGTCAGAACTAACCCCAACTGAATAACTGATTTCTTGGTCATGGCGAAGTCTGAAGGTCATGTTTTAAAATTTCTTGTAAGTTTATCCACCCTTTGCTGGCAAGTGGGCCCAACTTGGAAGCTCACCTTTAGTTACTGCAGTAGTAGTATAATTGCAAGAAAGTTGCCTTTAAAAGGACATCATTTGTATAACTGAAGACAAATTCAGCCTTGCTAGCTCTCTATGGGCAACTAATAATCTTACTTTATGTAATAAAATAGTTTTTATATTTAAATAGCTTCTCTGAATTCGTTAGTTTCTCCCTTAGTTAGGTAAGCATTTTCTGTTTTCTTCATTCTGTTTTGTACAATTCTTATAAAAATTTATCTTATTTCACTTATTATTGGTTAAGTTGGTGTTTCTATATTCCCAATCCTTTTTTCTACTAGCTCTGTAATATTGCTAGAGTTGGTTCTTTACTATCTTTTCATTTTAAGACCTTTGCCTCAGTGCCTTATGGGCCCACAATGAGTTTCTGAAAAACTGTTATTTTCTAAAATGGCAGGGAACATAAGCCTAGCTATCTACAATTGCTGTGGGAATGTATCAGAGGATTACCTTACACTGTAAAAAAAGCAAAACCTGTATCACACCGAATTTGTCCTGGTGTGATCTGGTTCTAGGAAGCCTGTGCTATAACACTGCTTCCTGACTATGCATAAAATGTATGTAGATACTTAGCATCTTATAAAGGTTATTGTGAGTAATAACTATTCTGAAATGGAGATATCTTTATTAAATTCTTACCATTTTATCAAAGTTGGACTAACATAGCGAGTGTCAATTTTTGGTTTCCTGATTCCTCTTCCTTTCAGGCACACAGTATTTTTAGATTTTAGAAAATAAAATAGTTGAACTCGGTTATCTTTGCCATAAGTGGAATTATTGCTTTAATTTTTGGACAGGAGTCCTAATTCTAAAAAGCAATGGGATAATATTTAATACAACATAAAATAATCTATTACTGTTGTAACACAGATTGATTCAGTGTCTTGGTTTGAGGAAACTCCAGGACATCCAGTTTTGATACTTAGTTGAAACAGTTCTCATTTGGAAGTTGCTTTTTAAATTAAAATTCTCACTAAGATAAAGTATACTTTTTTATTATTATTCCTGTATGTACTTTATGGTTTCATCAATGAATCACATAAATATTTTTTTCCTGACTTCAGAAAATGGAAAATCCTGATGAACTGGCAGAACTTATAAATATGAATCTTGCTCAGCTTTGCTCACTTCTGATGGCTCTCTGGGGGCAGTTTCTGGAGGTCATTACCTTACAAGAGGAGGTCACAGCTTTGCTAGCACAAGAGCATCACACGTTAAGAGTAAGTATTGACCCAGGGGCATTCATATGCTTTCTGGGACACATTGTTATGGCAATGTTTATCACAATGAGCCTCCAGATTACCATTTTTCTATTTATATTTCAGAAAGCTGGTTGGAATTGTAAAGGGAGCTGTTGCATTTAATTTGTTACCTTGTTTATAATGTATAATGTTGTTGGAATATAATGCATAAAACATACTATTTATGTTTATGAACCAAGTAATTCACTGTTCTTTTGAATAAGAAATGCAGTTCAGAAGACAGATTGCAGGCTGTGGAATGAAATATATTTGTGCAGACTAATGTACTTCTCAGTGGGAGCCATGTCTAGTGCCCGCCCTACATTTTGCTTCTCTGCATTTAGGCTGCCTGCTTACATCATAAACAAAGTGTATTTCTTTCTGAATTAAGAATTTATGATGTTACTAAGTTTGGAAAAGTCTTTTACATGGGAATTTGTAAAAGATGTGTATGTGAAATGATCTGGTACGTGAGTGTGTGTGTGTACTAACACATCTATAGTGCTGTTGGTCTGTCTATGGGTGTGTGCAATTGCTGTGGGCTCTCTGCAACCAGAACCACAGCAGTGCTCTTTCCATAGTGAAATACAGTCAAGTATGGACTAAAGCTTTACTCTTACTTGATAAATCACATTGTTTAGTGAGGAAATTGTGGTCATGGAAATAGCCTGTTATGGAGAATAAATGGAATCTTTCAGAAAGAATGGAAAGGGTTATTTGTTTGATGTGCTAGCTATAAGAAAGGTGTCATTTTATTGTCTCTCTATGAATCTTACTTACCTTTCTGTGGGTTTTGTATAAATACTGGAATCCCTCAAGTTAACTGGTGGAAGGTATGAAAGAAGAATACTGTTTCATTTAACCTGCATTTGCCTTCAGCTGCTCATATGTTTGTGTTTGTACAAATCTATATTTAATAAAAGCAAAGGAAGAAGTAATATATAAATTTTTACTGCTCCAGAAAAGACACTGCTAATGATTATGTATTTATCTTCTTAAATGTGGTTCTTTTAAAATGTGTGTCCTGGTTCAGGGCAAATTTGGGAGAGAACTTCTAAAGGGGCTCTTCTAGAAAAGCAGATTCAATTGGCTTCCTTTTTTAACTGGTTCAGGAGAAAATATTTCTTTGGAGAAAAGTGGAAAAAACTTCTTTTTATTAAACAATAAACCTTAAACAATATTAAACAATAAAACTTCTTGCTGGTGAATCAAGCCAATCTTGCTCCAACCTAGACCTCCCCTGGCACAACTTAAGGCCATTTCCTCTTGTCTTTTCCCTTGGGACATGGAAGAAGAGACCAATTCCCACCTGGCTACAAACTCCTTTCAGGTAGTTTTAGAGAGAATGAAGTCTCTGCTGAGCTCCTTTTCTCCAGGCTAAAGATGACCCACTAATTCTCCTCTTAAGAGGCTTAACCTGTCCTTTCTGGAATAAGAAACCTTTTTATTTTGGAAATGAATACTTTGATGTGTTCACTACTGGATGCTAAATCTCATTTTATTTTTTCTTCTTGCAATATTTCCAGACTATACCTTCCACAGGAAATTTCTCTCTGGGAATGTTTATTAATTAACCCTTTTAGGGAGTGATTGATCTGAGTGGTTAGGATACTTGTGTTAAAATACCCCCTAGAAAGGCCTGCCACCTGTATTTGGTCAAATGACTTTCACCTCTTTGCACACATGCTTATAAAACAGATATTTCTGCTGAAGAGTTGTTCAAGTATTGAAATTATTATTTTAATGGTTTTATTTATATTTACTCAAGTGTTTCAATATTTAACTACTTTCAAATACTTGGAAAAGCACTACATTAAAAAGTGAGGAACACTTTAAAATTCACTTTAAAATTGAACATCCATCTACTACATGGATCATACTGATCAACCTGTTAAGGTTTGCAAATGTATTTTATTGAAAAAACTGAAAAAACATTTGAACACTAAACTAGTTCATCTCTTTATTCTGTAGTGACATCTTCTGGTAGGTCTGAATGCATTCTTCCAAAATTATTTCTTTCAGTTTGATTAGTCCTAAAATAGGAGAGCTGAAAACTAAGATCTCTGACTGCTATTCATAAATATGCAGACACACAATATGTATTGCACAGCAGTTTTTATACACAGTTCTTCTGTTTCCATTGGGAGGACTATAAAAATCGTGCCTCTGGGAAGTCTAGAGATTAGGAGTAGCAGCTGCAATTTCCTCCTGCAAAGTCCTGTGGAGTCAGCCCAAGTCAGTGATTCCTGCATCGTTAGCAGAGCTGGCAGTCACTCTGGTTCTGCAGAGCCTGGTTAACAGTGTCCTAGCAAGTGCCTCAGTCCTTCAGTAAGTTAAGCACCTATTAAACATAACAAACTACTGTTGATTTGGGTTATTTCCTCTCATTAATAAGGACTTATGTGCTTTAGGAGCTTGGTTTCAACTAGTTTTATGCTGTTGCTATTCTACGTGGAGCTGTCTGGAACTGGTATTCAGATTTTCTTCAGAAGCACTGGAATTACTTAATTACAAATGGGATTTATTGCAAATGAAAAAATGCCTTAGTCTTCTGTGGGAGAGAGTGCAGTATTCTAAAGATCTACTCTCCATATAACTCCAGTTAGTTTATGTGGTGAAGTGCTCACATGTAAACTCAAAACTACCTTGCTTGCCTCCTGGGAAACATCTGTGTGCCCTTTTCTTGACATATACCACAGACATCTACTAATTTGGCAGTGTTCCTGTAACTGTTACCTGATTGATGAGGATCTTTAATTAATTTTTAAATTGCTTAATTTAAAATTATAATGTCCACTTTTCATGATCAATTGTTCTAAAATCTAGATTTTAAGCAGTAAAATTATCTGTTAAGTCTATTGTATAACAATCCCCCCTTCCTGGGAGAAGGGGTGGGGATTATCTCTGAAAAAATAATGTATTTGCAAGATAGATGTCTGTTTAGAAAAGACAGCAGGGAAAATGCAGCAAATTACTTGGGAACATCAATTCTAATCCCGCATGTGTATGTATAAACTCCTAACAAAAAATTCTGAAAGAAAGCAAATTGAGTTCTGACAAGAGTGGAAGTTGCATTTACAAGTAACTGTTGAATTGTGTGCTTTCTTTTTACTTCAAAGCATTTTCCATGACTATTCAGAGATGATGTTATGACTAAGATTTATTTCAGGTAATACAGTACAATAAATTCTGGGAGGTCGGGACAGGACTTTTGGTTTCTATTGCAAGTTAGAGATTGAGGGTAAAATGTTTGTAATTTGGGATTGGGTTTTTTCTTAAACACCTTGGAAAATTTTTTTCCTCAGTTCTTCTTGTATGAAGAAAACAAAAAAGTGCAGAAGCTATAGAACTTAATCCAAGTGGTGCTCTCCAAAAGTATAGTGGAGAGGGAGGATATGTATCAGGAGGGAAAATGAACTCCCATGCCAGTGCTTATCTCTGAACAAAATTAATGTGGTCCTGAAAGTCTGATATTTGCCAGTTCATGGACAAGATTTTCAGAGAGCCATGTTTGTGCTCAGGGTGGGGGCAGATGCTGGGTGAAAGAGCTGAGGGAACTGAACTAGGTAGGTCTTCACACTTTCTGCCAGTTTCACGCTGAAAACTCCCAGTCTATTCAGGAAGTTCCATCATTTAAGGGGAAGATCCAGAATATATTGAAGAAATCAAGGTGTAGGAGGTCATGAAGTGCTTGGTAAATAAATTATTGATTTGGTAGACTAGCATGGAATTCTCTAAGTGGGATAGAAATTTTATTTCAATTGATACAACCAAATTAATGTTAGCAAACAAGCTCTTGCCAACAACCATTGCACAGCACATTCTCTTTGGTTTGATTTTTTTAGATGCAGGTAACTTGGCAGTTGCAAAAATAAAATGCATATTGATTGAATTAATATTTATGTGGAATATTGGAAATGTGAGAAATCTTGTACAAAACCTTTGGGGTTTCTAGATACTACATTTTCAGTATGTCGATTATGTTTTCAATTGCAGCGAATTGCTGTATAAGTCACATTCTCTATTTAAGCAGGTATTTGATGGTAAAATATTAATGGTTTAACATGTTTGATGGTAAAAAAATATGCTCCCCATGTGTTATTAAATACCACTTCAGTATTGTATTGTTTATTGACCTCAAACATGCAATTAAGTCTTTAATACAGTGCTTGTAATTAATGTACATTCTGTTACTGTCTTCATCATTTCCAGCTGAAATTTTTGCAAACTAAAAATTCTTTTGCACAGTAGTTTACTGTGGGTACTTACGGAAAGTTTGAAACTCTTCTATATTTTGAGACTGCAGAATATCTAATGGGTTTCTGCTTCTGAAGGTAATACTCAGGCTCATTCAGAAGTGTGAATTGAACCATCATTTCCTTTCTTTCAATCGAAAATTCCAATGACATTTTTCTGTGTTATTGTTTGAGCCTTATTTGGATGATTGATTGATTGCAAATAAAATTATCAGCAAACAGTTGAATCTAATATAATTCCCAGTTATCCAGAGCACAAATTAAAATTTTTTCAGTGACTAGTTTTGTCTATGTCACCTATCCAGAATGAACATCTAAAAAAAATGTAACTGTCTGTATTATACATACAAATGATACATTGATGCATAGGAATGCTGGTGCATTTTTAAAAATTACTTGTAAGGTAAAATAAACTCTACCTTCATTTGAATCTTGCAGGTGCGCAGATTTGCTGAAGCATTCTTTTGCTTTGAGCATCCTAGGCAAGCTGCTCTTGCCTTTCAAGAACTACAGTGAGTAGCCTTTGAAATTCCACAGTATATAGCATGTAGTACTTTTACTGTATAGTTTATGTTGTGTAGAAGTAGCATTGCAAAAATATGTAAGAAATTCAAGAGAAACTTTTGTTCTCAATATAGATTTTAGAGTACTGGTAGTTATATAAGAAGTTATTAAATAATCAAGCTATTAATAGTTAATTAGTAGAAAAGCTTCTACTAAAATGAATTAAACTGTTGGTAATTTCTGTTAATGTAAAAATAAATAGTTTCTTTTTTTTCATGGAGGACTGCTTCCTTTTTCAGTGCTCAAAGTCATCTACAGGTGTGTGCAGCTATCAAAAACATTTCCTTCTGCAGTTCTCTTCCACCCCTCCCTATTGAATGCAGTGAACTAGATGGAGATATGAACTCCTTGCCTATTATCTTTGAAGATCGGTATTTAGATTCAATTACTGAAGGTAAACACAGCTCACAGTACCATTTCCTTTTTGAAGAAATGAGCAAAATTATGTAAAACTTGGGTATTTGTAAAAAATTTCTTGCTGGGTTTAAAGGACTACATTTATTTGATAGAATATGGGTTTTTACCTTGAGTTTTGAGGATGTGTAAAATTCTATAATTGCTAGTGTGTTATAACATCACTTATCTGCATAATCTCATTGTAAACATACTTTCTCTTTTCCCCCCTTTTCTGTGAAAGATTTGGATGTACCCTGGTTGGTAGCTCAGAGTGTTCCAAGGGCAGAGTCCAATAAACTGGATAAATTAGAAGCTGAAGAAGGCTTTGTTGCTGGTTTTAGTAGCCCAGAACTGAAAATGAGACCTGCTGGTGCCTCCGTCTTTTGGCATTCAGAAGCTGAAAAGATGCTAACAAAAACCTTCAAAGGGAAAAATGAAGATACAAATAAATCCAAAGCTAAGGTTGCTAAGCTCATAAAAACAATGAAAGCTGAAAACACAAAAAAAGTCGTAAAACAGAACTCAAAGGACTCAGTGGTGTTAGTAGGATACAAATGTTTGATAAGTGCAGCACTGGAAAATGCCTGTAGAAGGTTAGATGGCGAACCTTCCTACGGTGCTAACGAAGGGCTGGACCCTGGAGTAAGTGGAATTCCTTGTGATACAAAGGCCTGTATCAGGCAAGTAACTCGAAGAGACCTTCCATTGTTGCCATATGACGAAATGGCTGTCAAGATTGAAGGTGACCAACCAGGTCCAAGTAGTCCTGTGCACTGTGAAAATGAGGCTATTTTTGATAGACTGACTATCTCCCAGACAGGTTCTGGAGCTGTTCAAGCAGACAGTGCTTTACCACACAGAGGTACACTTGAAGGTTGTCATGGAGGTCAGCCATCTTCCTCAGGAGTCAGGACAACTGAGGTCAAAGCAAGTAATAAGAATCTTTATGAAGAGGAGAAAGGAGTGGCTCACACTGGATCATGGGCTAAGTTTCCACAAGATGAAGTGCACGAAGAGAATTTGTTGACACACAGTATTCAGTCTCCAGAATCTGGAAATAAATTGAATTTGGGAGAGCAGGACCCCATGCTTGAAAAGGAAGAGGTCCGTGAGAGAAACTTTCAGCATACCAGTGACATCTTGACAAAAACGAAAAGCAATCCACCTACCCTTTCAACAAAAGAAAGTCAAATCTCTGCAAGTGGAGACATAACTAAATTACCAGATGTTAGTGTGATGTGTGCCTCTTCTAGATTTTCAGATTCAGGTGTAGAAAGTGAACCAAGTTCTTTTGCAACTCACCCCAACCCTGATCATATTTTTGAAAATGTTCATGGACAAAGTGCACACAATGGTGAGAGAGCATTTCCTCAGCCTTTACTAAAACCAGACTGTGCAATAAAAAACACAATCGAAAGCCATTGCACTGAGAGTACAAGTGCTGTAAGTGAAATACAGTCATCCCTGACATCCATAAATTCACTTCCTTCAGATGATGATGAGCTGTCACCTGATGAGAATTCAAAGATATCTGTTGCACCTCAATGCCAGCTAAGTGACAGCAAAACAGTAGTGGATCTAGGAGCAATTGACTTGCCAAAATGTGATGACAGTAAAACATCAAACACCAATTTGCAGCAACAGCTTGTTGTATGTTCAGAGCACTTGGATAACAAAACGCTGTCTATACATTCCTCACTCTCAGGAAAAAAAGATCTGTTACACTTGGTTGTTTCAGATGAGGACACACCTACTGATGTGGAAAGTTACAGCCCACAAACAGGCCTTGGCACAACCTGCAAGGACCCTCAGGACCTTGAAAGGCCTCCTGGAGCTACAGAAGAAACAATTAAGTTGTGTTTGGAAACAACTTGTATGGGTGACCCATCTGCTGTTTCAGGTTTTTCATCTGTAAATGCAGTGGTTAAAAAAACAAACAAAGGAAAACATAATGAGCCTTTAGAACTAAAGGGCACAACTGAAGAACTGTCAGAAGCTAAAAGTGAAATTGGTACAGATAATCCTTCTCCAGCTGGTAGTGCTGACATGGTAAAACAAGGGCTTGTTGAAAACTATTTTGGCTCTCGAAGCAGCAGAGATATTTCAGATATTTGGCCTATGAACAACAGCAATCCTGTTAGCCCTCAAAAGGAAGCACATGAAAAACAAATTATTTGTTCTTCCCAACAAGATGAGGAGGAAGAAGAGGAGGATCAAGAAATGATTGAAAATGGGTATTATGAGGAAACCGATTATAGTATATTAGATGGAGCATGCAGTGCTGACCAGGATCATGGCTTAGCAGGAGAGAGAGTCCTGAGATCTGAAATGATTGACAGTGGACACCTGCAAGACATAATGACTGTGCCCCCTGTCTGTACTCCTGGTTGTTTGTCTTTCCCTTCTTCTCTGAGAGACTCTCCCTGCAATGTTACCTCTTCTTCAAAGAATAAATCTGATGCAATTACACAACAGCCAGGCAGCACATCCTACAGCTCAGCTTCAGCTGTTTCCTGGTATGAAAGCTCCCCAAAACCTCAAATGTTAGCGTAAGTAATTGATTTAAAACAAGCTTTTTACTTTTAGAAATTATGTTAATATAATAGAGAAGGGGAAAAGAAGCGTGGGGTTTTCTGGGTAGAATGCCCCAGAACTGTGGCTTGTAGATTCAGCATGCCCAAGTAACAGCATGTTCTAGATGTTCAGATAAAAAGTGTCTTAGCACTACACTTCTATGAGTTATCTTATAATTTCATGTGGTTTGAAAAACAAGCAAAACAGGATTTTTCTTTGTTACATTTAAAAAATAATCATCCAGCTGAAGAATTATGTTGTAAAGGCTACTGAGCATAAAAATGGTGTTTTATGAAATTGAAATTGTTAAAATAGCTAGCTTAGGAAAATATGCTTTGGCTTTAAAAGCATAAATCCAAAAACACTGTGTAACTGGTTATCCATCAGATTAGCTAAGTGAAGCAAATGTGTAATGCAAGCCATGGTAATGGCCTTATTTTTAAATCTTAACTTCAAATATCAAAAATGTAACACCTCAGAGACCATAGTGCTCTAAATGACACTGCAGTTTGGAGACAGGAAAGCCAAATTTAGAGGAATGTCAGGGATCCCAGATTGTACCTCTTCTTGCTGTAAACATAGGAGTTTCCCTGATAAACTCCTGCTGCTAAATAAACATGTGAAGCAGCAGTTGATGTGTTATATTGGAAGTAAAATGTTGCTATGAGAGAAAAGAAAATTTAAAAGAGAGGTAGAAACAAATGCTGAGCAGGTGGAAGAGATAGAAGACCAGGTAGTTTGTGAAAAGCAGCTTGAGAACAGAAAGAAGGAATAAGCAGTCAGGTGGAGGAAAACAGGTTAGAAGTGGCCAGAAAAATAGCTTCTGAAATACTGTGTGGTGGTACTGGTGTGGAATGGGAAAGACAAAGAGCAGAGACTGCTCAGGCTGTTCTGTAACAATAAAAGGGAACTTGCAATAAAATCAAGGACTTGGCCATGAGAAAAGCTGAGTCCCCTGGAATATGAGATAACTGTGAATCCAGAGGGTATGATCTGCTCCATAAAGAACCACCCTTGGTGTGTTCAGGAAACATGCCTTGAGTACAAACTTAAGTAGCTTCTGTTGCAGAGTGATAAGAGCAGCTGTCAGCAGTGGTTTCTGTTCAGGCTGACTTCATTGAGGCCTGCTCCTGCCAGTTAGTGAGGAAGGAGCTAAAGATAAAGCTGGGAAAACAGAGAACAAAAGGTAGAATGGGAGGGAAACAGTGAGCAGGCAAAAGAGGATGGGGTACAGCATGACACCCTGAGGGATCATGCAGAACAGATGGATTAAGGAAGCATAAGAAAGCATAAAGCTTTATGTGCTGCAGGGAAACTGATACGCAATTAGGAAGGCCATCCACAAAAACTAAGTGAAGTGGAAGAAAGGGAGGAAGGAACACAAGGAGCTCCTAGCATGTGAGGATCTCACCTGTTAAAAACCTTATAGTGTATGCCTTCGTAGAATAGGTGAAAGATCAGAAGTCTGGATCTGGCTGTTTCAGAAGCACATGTCAGTTTTTCAGCCTACCACAGGAACCTTATGGTGAGACATTACAGCACTAACTCCAGCTCTCTTTTGACCTAAGAAATAGGCTTGGCAAGAATTATCAAAAGGCAGTGAAAATCTTAACCTTGACTTCCAATTGGTTATAATTTCTTCCTTTTTTTTTATTGTGTGGAAACAAAGCTGTTGCTTGGTCAAAACCACAATGAACCCATCATCTTTAGTGGTTTCAGAAATACTTGAGAGTTTGCAAAGATGGTCAAAGGAGAGAAGAGAGTAGAACTTGAGACACGGTTTTTGTTACAGAGGAAAAGGGGCTGTAGGAATCTGCAGTAAAAATTTTCTGAGGAAATGGCTTCTTTTGTGAAAATAGTAATTTGATAAATATATTTTCCTTCATATTAATTACATAGAATACAAAGCAAAATGACAGTAGAAGACTGTATCCTGGAAGACCCCACATTTATCTAGCAGTAGTAAATGTATAATAAATTTTTTTTTTGTTCCAGTTTCCTACAGGCTAAAGAAGAATTGAGGCAACTTAAACTTCCTGGATTTATGTATAGTGATGTTTTCAAACTGGCTTCTTCAATACCTTATTTCAGTATGGAAGATGATGAGTGTTCAGAAGAAGGAGTACATCTTATAGTTTGTGTCCATGGCCTAGATGGTATGCTGAGAAATGTGATACTGTACAAGAAAGCAGTTCAGATTACCAGTGAGATTTAGCTTTGGTCATTCAAACTCTGAACACCTGAAGTAGGTTCAGTGGAGGAAAATGGGAATCTGACATTGTACTGATACATTTGACAATGTGTTCCATAAAATCTTTTAAATTAAGAATTGTCTCTCTTTAATAAAACTTCCCTGCACATAAATATTTAAAATATTTAATAAATGTTTAATGCCATAGTTCACATCAGCTGCATCCTTCAGTTTTTTATGTCATAATGGAATTTGCCCATGTTGTGGTAATAGAATGGAGTTACTGACAAAACTGTTTTCTTTATAATTGCTGTGTTGTCAAGAAAAATGAAATATGTGTATCTTGTTAGGAAAAAGAAATAGTACATGTAAAACACAGTCAGGTGTTTATAAGGTTTTAAAAGGTTAAGTCACTGAATCACAGTGTGGTTGAGGGTGAAAGGGATCACTGAAGATTGTCTCATTCAACTTCCTTGCTCAGAGCACAATCTATAGCAGATTGCCCAGGATGCAACCCAGTTGGGTTCTTGAATATTTCCAAGGACAAAGATTCTACTGTGGTAGAAGTGAGAAAAACCTCTTTTTGATTGAAAGGGTTATAAAGTTTAAGTAGCTTGAATATATTCATCTGCTTTTGGTTCAAAGAATATGTGTATATTAAGAAACGCTATCCCCTCTAGCTTTTGTGGATTTTTGAGACACTTCTTAAATTAACAATGGAAGGAAACACAAGAGGGCAGTAGAATAGAATATTGGACTGCATCAACACTGCACAGGCACCTTCTTCATTTTTCAAATTCCTAAGTTAAAAAAATAAAATAACAGCATAGTTTTTCTTTCCTCATTTGGGCAGAAAGCAGCCTTTGTTAAGTACTTTTAAAAATAGGACTCGGAGGTATTCCCTCTTACTAGTGTATTCTTGTACTATTGCATGTAGAAGCAGCACAAAAGTTAATTCGACCAAGAAGCTTGTTGTTAAAAAAACATGTGTTTGAAACCTTAGGAAAGTCCACATAGTTAGAATTTTCTCATGAAACAGCGAGCTTATACAAGCTATTTCCTATAAATGACAGATGTAAATAAAAATCCTGAAGGCAAAATCCTGAAAAGCTACCCTTTCTTCAAAAGCATCCATGACTACTGATGTGGAAAAATCTTCAGGATGCTAGTTAAACTAGCATTTGTTGTTTTGGGTACCACAGTATCTAAAAGTATCTTTATCTGCTGATAGTTCACTCTGCCTTTTCATTTTTTGAAGTACTCCTTCACTGAATTCTTTAAGCTCACTTTGAGTTCTTTAATTTGCTTTTCAAAATTAATTAGGTTTCCAAGAATGTAATGTTCACAGTGCTATGTATCAGTTGGAGGCTAAGACAGAATCAAGCAAGACTTCCTACATCCTTGCTTTTCTAAAAGTGTTTGCATCGAATGTCATTTTCATAAACTATTTTGTCCCTTAATTTGACATTGTAGTTTATCTTTCAAAGTCTTACTGAATTTTAATTAGGGCTCAGACTATAATTAGCTGTGTTTAAATATAAAGCTCTGCCAGAGATTAATTTCACTATTCTGAGGCTTTTATTGCGAGTTAACTTTGCGGACTCTAACTCCTGGTTGTTTTTCTTTTGAAGGTAACAGCGCAGATCTAAGACTAGTGAAGACTTACATTGAGCTAGGGCTGCCTGGAGGAAGAATTGAATTTCTTATGTCTGAAAGGAATCAGGTATTTGCCAACTAAAAAGAATTTTTGTAAAACTATGAACAGTGTAAACCTTCAGAGACGTTTATTAATTGCACTATTGTGTTTACCACATTTTGTATCTTTCTGTTGTATTCTCATGGAATACATTATTTGATCTGTGGCGGGTATCAAAGTAATTACAAAATCTTGTATGGTATTGAAGGTGAATATTTTAAGGGGTAACATTTGTTGCTACCAATTTGCTGTGTGTACTGTGTCTCGTAAGTTCTCAGCATAAGCAGTTTGGATTGTGGATAAAATATGCTTAATACTAGTGGTAAAAATGGTAATAGTGAAAACTGGTGTGGCAAGAAGGGAGATGTGTTATTTCAGATAATAATAATAATAATATTATCTGAGAAATACAAAATTGCTATAACTTGTTCTTTTGTCAGCATTCTGCAAGATCAACATCATAACACTGAACAAATATCAAATTACCTCCTATGTTAAACAGGAATATGTGTGAATTTTATTATTTTCTGATAAGTTAAACTTGCCAAAGCACAAAAGACCAATTTTTACTTTTTGTCTGTGTGTATGTGTGTATTACATATTGTATTAGACATACTTCAGAGATGAACTAGAACAAGGTCTTGTCAGTGGCTCAAACAAAAGCTTCCTTTAGTGCAATAGCATTTTTCTGGCAGTAGCTGCTGGGATGCTTTGTGAAACAGGCTGGACAGGCACCAAGCCAGGCTTTCTCTTCTCTAGCCCTATAGTTTGTGTCAGTCAGCAGCTGTGAGACTTTCTGATTTGTGGATTCCATTGAGACCACTGAGCCTAATAGCTGCTGACAGACTTTTCTCCTTAATGTTGGCTGATTCTTTTTGAATCTTTTTACTTCTGTATCCATAGCATACAGTTGAGTTCCATTCTGTGGTTTGTATACATTAGTAATTCAGTTGCAAACAAGGAAATTGAAGTAGTTTACCTTACAGTTTGTTTTGGAAAAAATACTCGATAATCATTTCTCATTCCTCATTCACTGCTTCAGTTTTAATATTTTTTTTTATCACATATTTTATAAACAAGTACAATTTCTCCCTCAGGAGGCAACTGAAGAGACCTAGTCTATTTATTATTTCTAACAATTAGATATGAAAAGTTTCTGTTCATCCATGGTACCCTTCCCAGCCCGCTTGAAACTTCCTGTCATTTAAAATTGAATGATCAGAACTAGACAGGGCATTTAAGATGCTTTTGCACTATGGACTGACAAAATGCTATGTTGCTATTTTCTTTCCTTGCTTTCCTAACATTGCTGATTATATGCAACACACACATGTAGATTATTGTTTGCATATACAGTTAGGGCTGGTTTTCTCTGTGTAACATTTGTTTGCATTTCTTGCCATTTTATCACCCAGGCATGCAGTGGTATAAGATTCTTGTGAAATTCTGGTTGGTTCTAGATTTGAATACTCTGGATATTTAGTTTTGTCTACAAACTGGTTTTTCATCTGCTCTTTTGATTTTTCATCTTCTCCTTTCCTTTCACAGATCATTTACCAATATATGTTGAACACTACAGATTTCAGCACAGATCCTTTGGAACTTGTGTTGAAAAGTTCTAGGCAGGCTTTTCCTATCTCTTTTAATTTCTTACTGCTGATCATTGGAGAGAATCAGCTGTGAACTGAGGATAAGGTCTTGAGGATTTTATGTGATTGTTTCATTTTGAATAACCAGAATTCCTGTAGACTGCTGTTGCAGTAATTGACTCATCTCTATTTCATGGGCAGTGTGATATAATTCTGAATATGCAGTTTGGTCTTCTGTTTCACTACAGATAATCTTAAGTGTAGAGAACAGCTTAGAAGTAAGGCTGGGTGTGTAATGTTAAGATTTGTTTTGGTGTTTTAGAAGAAAGTAGTCTTACAGTAAAATGTGTATCACTTTATTCTGTGTTACAAGAAAATGACATGAAAAAATCATAATAACTAGCTGTAGTGTTTGTATTCAGAGTTAATATTGATGCTTTTATTTGTGTGCTATTGGTCGAAACACTGGGGAGTAAGAATTCAGACTGAATGCAGAATGTATATTGCTGCATTAGAAAATACAGTTATTATTTTTTATTTCTTTTATTTTACAGAATGATACCTTTGCTGATTTTGATTCCATGACAGATCGCCTTTTAGATGAAATTATACAGTATATACAAATTTATAATCTACCCCTTTCAAAAATCAGGTAATATCTGTTCTATACTATTTACAGAAATAAACTTAAAACTAGAGCCCTGGGTTGTTTTAAACTGTGATGCTCAGGAGCAGGCCAAAAGAGAGATGACAAAAAGCAATTTGGGATGTGGGAGGAGTAGGGGAAAGGAGGACAATGGAGAGAGAGGGAATTGCCAGATGAAGACTGAACAGTGTTGTAAGTTCATCTGTTGGTGGTTTTAGGGTAGAGGTTAAGCATTACATTTAAGGAATTGCTGTCTTGTGCTTCTACAAATTCTGCATAATAGAGTTCTGCAGAAAAACAGATAGTATTTTAAGAAAGTCAAAGGAACCTGTAATAGCACTATGCCAGGATGAAGTTAGCTTCCTTCTGATTTTATGGTCCCTTTACCAAGTATGACATGGCAGACTGTATGTCTTGTCACTCCTGCAGGGCACTTTCATCTCACATGTGATGTTGAAGGGCAGCTGCATGAAAATATATTTCATTATTTTTTATGTGTTCTGATTGTTTCATCTGCTAAACAGCATGTTTTACATCTTATTAGAGAGCTTACCACAGTCTATGCATTTCTGTTTTCTTTTACATTTACTTCCAGGGAATGCCCATTGCATTTATTTTCTCAAGGTAGAGAACAATTTGGGCAGACTACCTTACTAACCCAGCAGTGTGGCTGGAGTTAGCTCATCAAGAGATGAAAAGAGCTAATCCAAGCCTGACTTTATCAATTTGTTTAGGCACCCTCAAATTATACATCCAGAAGGTTTTTTGACTTGCTAGTTACATGTGTTTCTGACAATTTTGTGCATTCACATGTGTTTGGTAGGCCTTGTTCAGCTGGAGGAAACATCTAAAACATTTAAACATAATCTCACTATTTAAACAAATGTTTCTGTTTTGAGATGCTTAATTTTGTCTAAACTGTTGATTTAAAAATGTAAAAAGAACTATATGATCATATTTTTGTTTCACAGGCTACATGGTAGCACCCTTGGTATGGGAGAGAAGAGTTCTGTAACCCCCCAGCGTATACCAGGATCTTCTCTCCCATGCTGTTGTCTGAAGGCTGTAATGAACAAACCCACCCACTTACCTTCTCATTGTTTATACCTGAGAACTGAACTCTTGTTTGGTCTTGCTTTTGGTTTGCTTCTCTCATAAGACTTTCGATTTGTAAATATTTTTCACTTTTATTTATTACTCATCACTTGAAAGAAAAAAACAAACCTATGAATTTTTATTTTAGTTTCCTTTTTAAGGTGTATACTTGTTTTGGGCCCTACTGAAATCGAAGTTTTCATTTCTCAACTTAAGCTTTTCTTATGAGAAAGTTTACACGAGAGAGCTGTTAGAAAGACACGTGCCTCTATGCAAGGCCTTGAAGGGACAACCCAGAAAGCCTGGAAAAGTATGCTGAGAAATCCTCTGCTCAAGAAGCCAATGCTTTCCTGCCTCATTTTGGTTATAACACTGTAGAAAACAGCCCTTGTGGTAGTTACCTGTGGTGTTCTGAATGATGCTGGTTTCTCCTCATAAAATCTCCCTGTCTCCGAAAGGAACTGTTCTCTCTACAAGTGCTGCTCCATAACCAGTCAAAACAGGCATCTCCAGATTTGTGATTTTGTATAGCAAAAAAATCCAACATGGTAAGATGCTTGCATTCTGTCTTGCTTAAGCAGTTGGACATCAGCATCCCAGGGCTTCAGTATAAGGACAGTGATGTTCACGGTGGGAGTTCCAGCTTCCTTGGCCTTGGGTCTGGATAGATTAATTTCATATTTGTATATCTCCAGTTGGCACATATGCTCTTTCGTTTGTTTTCCATTTATTCTTTTTTCCCATCCTATTCTCTGTTATCCCTAATGCTGACTTTCTCTCCTAAGTTATACAACTGTGCTCCTGCAGTGATCATTAATAGACCACTGGGGACCTCTGCCATGTGATACCTGCACCTACAGTCGTGCACACCGCACTTCATTCTGGTGATACACTGTTCAGGCCACAAGGAATAACTACTTGTTATTAATAGAAACTGTAGAGGAACTAAAACAACTTTAGACCTGACTTGGTAGTTCACTGGCAGATGATTGTTGTCACAGCTTAAACAAATCAAAATCTGCTCAGGTCAAGATAAGTCCAGAGATGTTCTGAGATTCTGCCCTTTATTCAGATAAATGCAGTCTCATGCTCTCAGGTAGCGGTGAAATCCTACTTACTGTGCTACATGCTACATTCCATGTGTACATTTTCTCATTGTACTGAGAAAAGACACTCCCTGTACCACTGGAATAGTGTCAGCTTCAGTAAACATTTTTGGTACCTGCAGGGCTAATACCAGCTGTTATGGCACTTCACTATAACACGTTCCTTCATCTCTGAACAAAATCTTTATGCTCACAACAAGCATGGAGCAAGCATGAGCTGGAAGCTTGATTAAAAACAAATGCAATTTGCCTTACAAAAGAACTGTTTAGTAAAGAATCACAGAAGGTTTTAGGGTGACGGGACATCTGGAGGTCATTTGGACCAGTCATACCAGTGCCACCATCAAAGTTAATGCAACTTTGAAGCGTGTCAAATTGTTCAGTCATACCCATTCAAATTTTAAGTGTCTATGAGGATGGAAGCCCTCAAGGTAACCAGGCAGCTGGGGAATAAACCACCTGCTCTTATAGTGTAGTTTCAGAAACCATTTTGCACATGTCAGGTCTTATGTAAATTTATGATGACTTGTATTGGACTTTGACCTCAGGTAGATTAATCAGCATGTCATCCTCTTCCCTAAGTAACATTGGCTCATTAAAAAAATAAAAGCTATGCATGTATTAAAACATCTGTTTGTTGTTTCAGCACCTCATTGATTATGAATCTTGATTGATTTTTCTTCCTTCCATGAATTTTTATAGTTGGACAGGATTTTTGTTTATTGGCACAGAGTAATGAGGTTTTGCTGTGTGTGATTTTTCTAGTATGATCAGAATTGGTAGACTTGTATCGTAAAGCATGTAATGTAATTCTGTTAATTTCAGTGTGTTAATTATATATTCAGAAGATTGTAATATTGCCACCTAGTGTTCATTGCTTTTGCAGAGCATCCCATGAGTAGAATGGATTACATTCCCATCTCACACTTTCAAGACCTTATTTGAAGAATTTTCCTTTTCCTCCCCTTTTTGATTTAAGCAATTTTTAAAACCTTTCTCCATTAAAAACCAAATTTGAGCCTTATTATATGTTCACCTAAGCATCTGAATTGAATCACAATGTATTACTGTAACCTTTATTATATTTCTAAGGCTTTTCAAATTAACTACAAGTGTTTAGTCTTTGAGGTACATTCACATAGCTGATTGTGAGCTTCCAGTTTTCCTCAAAATGGATCTTCCATGTTTCTGAAGTTTTGGTTAGGTATGCCCATACTCTTAGGGATAGAATTGATAGATGGGTTGCTGCTTTTTTCACAGAAAATGCCCTTTATTATGGTACAATGTAAGAGTTTCTCATCCCATTATGACTTTTCTTAAATACTGCCTGAGAGAACTGTCAAGAGAGTATCTCTGCTAATGTTCGGATGTTCTTTAGAAAACAATCTGTTTTACTCAAAAGCAGTTACATCACACAGATCATCTTCAGGATCAACTCAATTTCTGTGTGCATTTACATGTTCTTAAAGAAATCTGTGATTTTGTTCTTCTTGTGTGGATTTTTCTGTCCTCCAATGGAATAATTTTAAATTTTAGTATTCAAGAGAGCAGCTAAGTGTTTTGTTTTGCAAATGCACTGCTGTTGTGCTGACACCACAGAGGATAAATAGTCTTTCATTTCGAAATTAGTTAGGCAAATACAGCAAGCTCAAGCAAAGAATTTCACATACAAATAATACTGGAAATCTAGTAGTAAAAGCAACTGAGAAGAACATATGTGCATACTTAAACTATGTATTAATAATGTACAAAAATCCTTTTTCTGTTATAGAAATGCATAATTATTTCCAAGTTTAGTTTTCTGCCATTCTATAATCAATTGTTTGAATTTTTTATTTACTTTTAAATTGGTATTTTCCGAGGCAGTGATTCTTGCTTGGGAAGCATTTAAACAGTCAAGTAATCTTTTAGCACTGTCTTTTACACAGATGTTACAGGAAGCTTTGTTTTAGCTACTTCTGTTGATGAATGTAGTGATACACAGCAAACAGGAAGGGTGATCCAGCAGTGATGTTTCTACTGTACATAATTTGGATGGTTTTCTGTTTTCACCATATCCTGGGCTTGCATCTGTAATGCAGGAAGGCACTTTTTCCTTCTAACTTTGTGAGTCTGGTCTTCTTTAAGTCAGTGCCTAGTCTGGTGTGGTCCTGATCTCAGCAGGGATCTGTAAGCATAACTAGAATTGCTTAATTTCATAGTGTCCGTTTTAAAGAAATGCTTTATATAGGTTTGCGTATGTGACAGTAAGCACCTCACCTATGAAGTAATATTTATCCTTAGATACAAGAAGCTAAAGAGTTCCTTAAATTGCTTAATCAGGGAAACACCGAAAAGTACTATTGTCCTGACAGAGACATATTCTTCAATTGCTTGCTCAAGCTGATAATCACTTCTTTTGGTCTCTGCTAAGCAGATCTGAGATGTTGCTTCTGTTTTTAAATAATCAGATTCAGTTAAGTGTGGTGTTCCCCCCTATTAGGACTACCTTTGGAATCTATCTCCACTAGATTGTTTCAGGAATGCTCATATGTCTATCATATTGAGTGCCATCACATGCCAAAGTAATGATGATTTCAGTCATGCATGGCCCATAAAATATTTTCTTAATAGTTGGTGCTAAGGGAAATGAACCCAGGAATAATCTTGGGTTTAGGTGCTAGATGCTGGTAGAAGGATAGTTTGGTTTTGTTAGCTTTTCAAAAATGCTGTATTAAATATTTCTGGAGGAGTTCAAAACACGTTTGTGATGAGTTTGTGCAGCTTGGGAGACATGGAAAAGCTATGCCTCCTAAATGACATAAAATACAGGTCTGAATGGAAACTTTTCATTAATTATTTCCTATGCTTTTTTAGCATTTCATGACACTGGTTTTCTTTTTCTCTGTGAAAAGGAAAAAAAATCCTGCTATAAAATTCCATGTTATATTGCTTTTTCTCTTCAACAGCTTTATTGGACACTCACTGGGTAATTTAATAATCCGTTCAGTGCTCACAAGACATCGATTTAAGTATTACCTCAACAAACTTCATACCTTCCTGTCTCTGTCTGGACCACATCTTGGTACCCTCTACAACAGCAGTGCTCTTGTTAATACAGGTGACGTATTTTCAATAGTATTAGTTTAGGGGAAATCTTGTCTTTGAAATGAACTTTGAAATGAAACTTACATTTCATGTGGGATGCACATTTCTGCATTACTGTGATTGTGAGAAACTGCATGTTTCACTGTCATAAGCAGAGAGAAGGGTTATAAAAATAAAGTATTAATAAAAGGATGTGCAAGAGGTGATTGGCATAAGTATTTTCCAGTATGTTTGGTTCAGATTTTCTGTTACAGCATAAATAAACTCCTGTTTTAATCTGTTGAGCTCATTTTTTAATAAACTGAACTTGAATATGCTTAATCTGCCAAACAATTATATAAGACACATTAAAATAATTCTAAACTATTGTGTCTTTTCTCTCTCAAAAATGCCATATAACCTGCAGTGTGTTTCTGCAGATGTGCATGGTGAGGGAAGCAAGATTTCCTGAAAAGTCAGTTAGCCACCTATTATTACTATTATTGACTAATAAAGAGAAATAGTACCAAACAAAACTTTCTACCATGGTATTCTTCTGTGAGAAGATTCTGCTTCCTTTTTTCAAGTTATGTTTATTGAGTTCAGTTTAGAAATTGGAGAAGTAGTGCCTCTTGTTTTTTGAACATCAAAGTGTTCTAATATTATACAAATTATTGAAATAGAATGTGTATATTCTGGCAAACATTACTGTATTTACACTTTCTGGAAGTTATTTTTTCTGGACAGGCATGTACATTAGTGGAAATAAAGGCCTTCAGGCTTCATTGTGTAGACAGACAGGAAAGAAAATTAAATTTTCAACTGTTTCTGAGCTTGACAATGCTTACATGAAAAGTAAAATTAGCACCTGAGAGACTGTTATGAACTTTACATACTATACTTACGTTTAATTCATTTTCATATTTTATTGTGGATCTATACTCACTGTACCTCACAATGCAGGACTGTGGTTTATGCAGAAATGGAAGAAGTCTGGTTCTTTATTGCAACTGACATGTCGAGACCATTCAGATCCACGACAGACATTCTTATATAAACTGAGTAAAAAAGCAGGTAAGCTTTGTTAATTCTTCCTATCTCTTAAAGGCAACTGTGTATAAATGTAAATAGGAAATATAAAAAGAAAATAACTTATTTTCAAAAAGCTCCTGTTTCAGTTTTAATATTTAAGAGTTACTTTAGTCCTGTATTCTTCAAGTAAAGTAAACAGTTTCTGTTTCAGAGGTAGGATATTACTTTGAGACTTCCCTTCCTAAGTAATGAGCAGTGCTCACAAGACATGCAAAGATGCATTCCTAAGAAACAAGACGAAGGTTTGAACCATACCCAGTTTAATGGGAAACTCTACAACTGAGCCATGGCCATGTCTGTTAAATATGTACAGAGGAAAGGCTGGTACCAAACATCTCATTATTTTGTAGCTCTACCTATCACAATTGTTTTTTCTCCCTTGTTGTGCAATATCCTGTAATAAATTAGTGCCAAATATCAGTTGTAAAATGTTTAATTATTCAGTAGTAATAGCAGAGGATTTGCTATAAGTGATACCTTTTTTCTTGTAGGTCTTCATTACTTCAAAAACATTGTGTTAGTAGGATCTCTGCAGGATCGTTATGTTCCTTATCACTCTGCCCGCATTGAGATGTGTAAAACAGCTTTAAAGGATAAACAATCAGGTAATAAATATCCTGCAAAATAAACAAACTGCTCAGGTTAAAACCTCACACATATCAATCTCCTCCCATTTAATTTTGGCTGCGTAACTGAGGCACCTCTATTATGTGTTTAGAATCTTTGGGCTTACTTTGTAGTAGTAGTAGAGGGAGAAAATCCATGTGGAGGCTGACTTGCTTTCTGTATCTGTCCTGTTCTATTACATGCAGATGGAGATGAGACTGAACAGGTTTCTAGCTCACTGACTTCGCTGAAAGTTAGGCGAGATAGACACAGCCCTTGATGTACTATTTCATGAACAGGGAGGACAAATAATTTTAATTTTTGAGGATATCAAACTGTAGCATCAAACCCTGGGCTGTATTTAGCTGTGGCTTAATAATAGCACTGAAAAAAAGGTAATTTTTCCATTATCAGTTAGGGTCAGTTGTTGTACTTACCGTTGAAATATTCTAGCACAATTGCATTCTAGTATTATATATTGACAAATAACTTTTATGTAATGTAATAAATTAATACTGATAAATACATTCTCATTATAAATGTACAAATTCTAAAATGCATAGCTTCAAATTATTTTTCAAACATTTCTAGAGGGAATTAAACTTTCTTTATATTCTATCTTAACAGAACCACAGCATAACACATTTCATTACTTCTCTTACTCTGGAATGTGTTCATTCTGAGTTCAAGGTCAAAGAATTGTGTTTGTTTCTGGCAATTCACACAGTACAACTTTTCTTTTCCTCTACAGGACCAATTTATGCTGAAATGATCCAGAACCTGCTTCTGCCAGTTCTTCAAAACAAGGAATGTAATTTGGTTCGTTATAATGTAATTAATGCATTACCCAATACAGCAGATTCTCTCATAGGGAGAGCTGCACACATTGCTGTTCTTGATTCAGAAATATTTTTAGAAAAATTCTTTCTTGTTGCTGCCCTAAAATATTTTCAGTAGAGAAAAGCATTGTCAGAAACTTGGTTATTACCTCATTAACAGATGAATTCAGATAATGTGTGGTGTTAAAGTATAGCTGCAGCTGTATTTTAAGAGATATTTATACTTTTTATATGGAAGATAATTTATATCATCCACACTTAGGGCTTTTTAACATCAACTTTACTTTCTAGGTAATGTGACTGTGCAATATTTTTTTATTTTGTTCTTTTTACTTTTCTATTACTTTTTCTTAATTTTGGGTACCTAATTATTTGGAGATTAAAGCACAGTGTGTACTTTTGTTTGGTTGGTTATTGGCTTTCAGACAACAGAAGTCAATGTCACTTGGCTACATTTTACAAGAGGCTTTAAATGCCAAAAATAAATTGGATTTTAAAATTCTAACAATGTCTTACGTGTTCACTTGTCGTATTTTAGCACTGTAGAAGTTTAACTGGAAACACAATGAGCTGCTAAAATACTGGATATTTGAAAATTACTATATCTGCTACAGCTTAACAGTTTTCTACAAAATCATTACTGTCATTGTTAAATATGTTATGCCTGTGGGAATATTTTTTCTGCTGATCTCAAAAACATGTTAGTTTACATACTCAAATTTTATGACTGGAACTTTGATTTTCAGAAGCAAATGGCAACTAAAGATTTTTGAATGTTCAGTGATAGCTGCCTTCAAATAATTGGGGTTTTGCAAACTGTATTAAGATGGTTCCTTACTCTGTCAGTTCTTCGGATGAACATGGACAATTTTATGAGGACTTCCTTGTATATACTTAAAATAAGTAAATGTTATAAATTTCTGCAATACTTTTATGAATTTAAACAATTTTTAAATATTGTTAAAATGTTTTATTGACTATAAAGTATTGTAAATATAAACCAATACATCTTCAAATGAGACTGTTGTAAACTTTACCTGTTTAGTGACACAGATAAAATGTTTTTGATATACAGGAATGTTAAAGATCTGACTTTCTACTGGTGCTGAATAGCATTGTTTGGTTTTTTCTTTCTTCCCTTTTCTCTGGTTCAAACAATAGTTCGCTAAAGGTGGGGAAAAAGAGTTATATGTGCATTCACTAATTGTACACTAATTGTAATGAACATTTTTTGAAAAATATAAATTTGTTGTATAATGCATGTTTATTTCTAGCATTGTGTTATTGCATCTGGTGTTAATAAAATGAACAAATTACTCTAATGAAAGCAATTAAAGAAACTGAAATGTTCTGCTAATTACCAAAATTCTGGGGAGGCTTTTTGTATATAATTAATAATTTTGTACTTTGGAAATTAATAGAGCAATAATACTTGAAGTAATTATATCTGCAGATGAAATGTCTATAATAATACATGAAGTGATTTTGCATTTGATGTTGAATGTTGTATAATAGTCTTTGTAATATATGGGGGGAGTTCCCTGTAACTTACAAGATGCTGAAATGAGTATCTGAGCATCTACAGTTCAGCAACGTATACACTGCAGTGTATTTTGTTAGAGTTGTGTTAGGCAAGTCCTCATGACACAAAGGTATCTTTAATATGTTCTTACTATTACAATGCCTATTTTTATTTTTAATTTTGTATTATGATGTTGCTATTAAGCTCTAAATGTTTAAATTATGTTCTGTTATCTCAACTGTCTTTTATGTAACAGTATTATTGGATTTGGCTACTGGCTAAACTTTTAATAGCTGTTGAAGGGAGCTGAAGTTACAAAATATTCCTTGATTCACAATTAAGACTTTAAACTGTTCTTAGGAAACAAGCATTTAGATGGTTCTGTCACTATTGAAAAATGTCTGTCTTGCTTTCTGTCTCTGGACAGAAATATAATAATAATAATACATGTAAACATGTACATTATTTACATGTCAGAACATGTAAAGCACGCTTTTGTGATCAGGAAAGCAAAAGTATCATGACAGAAATTGCCACTTTTTTTTTTCTTTTTTTTTTTTTTTTTTTTTTTTTTTTTTTTTTTTTTTTTTTTTTTTGTGGGGGGAGGTGGTAACAGTAGGTCCCACCTATTTAAAGCAGTTTGAATTAGGTTTGTTCTTTGAGGAAAATGGATGGTGCAGGACATCATGTTATATTCACATGTAAGTATCTCAAGGAACAGGGCAAATTAAAAGAACAGTAATTTCATTCTCTTTTCCTTAATTTTTATTGCCTAGTCCATATGTGGTCTGGTAGCCCTCTCAGTACTGTAGCTTTTGTGAGGGCTGTTCAACATCCCAAAGGAATGTGCCATCTGACCGTAGTGAGAGGCGTGATGACCCCAGCGTGTCCCTGAAGCATCGGCGGCTCACATTTACTTACAGACTGTATGGTCACTTGCAGTTGCTCTCTGAGCAACACATGCAGGTTGGGATATTTTGGACAACTGTGCATGTGTTGCCTGGCATGTTCTCCCTACTCCTGCAGTTTTCTGCCTTCTCTTTCCTGGACCTAAATACAGACCTGTGTACACATAAGTCAGTGTCATCTGATGCAGTAGAAGCTCTAAAGTGCTGCTACTCACCATCTCACCACTCTTCTATTTGAATGAGGGCTTCGTCTTCCTTTAGAGATAGTGACCTCTCCTTCATGCAGGTATCCTGCAGCTGCTTCAAAGAGAATTATGTTGCTTACAGAATGACATTCTTTTAACTGTTAGTATCTTGTTCCCTGAAGGCAGTAAGCTGGTACTGTTACTTCAGAAAGCTCTCAGTGATATAATTAGGAGATCACTGCATAAAATGACAGTGTCTGAACCTTTGTTTCCATGTTATGTATATAAATTAATTCCTTGGGTTGTGTTTGAATTCTTGATACAAACTAAACTTTCTGTTACTGTAAATCTAGGCATTGCTACTACTTTGGAAAAAGAGTTCATGTTATACTGGGAATCACCAGGATTTGCAGCAGAGCCAAGAGATTTGACATTGATGGAAAACTTACTCTGTAACCACAAAACAACTTTGTTTCCAAGCCAGTTGTATTTGCTTAGCCCTGAGCAGGTGTGGTGTTCAGATAACCAAGGTTCTTGATGTGGTCTCAGAGGCAGAGGGGGCATTCAGGCAATATCAGTGCACTCGCTGCCCAGGGCTGTGCTGCTTGTGGTGCTTTCCAGGCAGTCTCCGAGACCAGTACATCTGGCTCATCTGAACTGACCTGCTGCAAGCTTTGTGCTAGCTGTAAGTCTTTTATTCCCCACTTTTTAGAACAGCAAAGCTATGTACAATATTGTTTGTGTCATCTTGCAAAGGAAGCTGCAGTGCTAGAGATAAATGATCAGTAAACAGAAGAAGGAAAACAATAGTCCATTTAATCACAAAGTAGAAAATTCCTGTGGTGTATGCTACAGTTGTTTTTACCAATGTTAAGGTTTATTACCTCCTTAGCCAAAAGATCTAGAAATTAATAATTCAGGAGTTACAAGTGAATTTTTACAGCAATACAATAAAGACAAGAAATATGTTTTGAAGACAGTTAATTTTTAGGTGGATAAACAGTACCCCAATAGCCTTGCACTGCTGTTTCATTCTTACCATTTGAAATTTGACGTGTGCTTGTACATATGATGTATGCATAAATGTATAATTTTTCATGGATTAAGCATGTGTTAAGCAGTTTAGGAGCAGAGTTTACTATTACTTGGTGTCTGCTGGCAGCTTGGTAAGTTTTTTTTAAGGGAAAGATTTCATGTTTTTATTGTACTGAAGACATAAATAATAAGTTCTTGAACTTTGACAAGATCTGTTTAGGTTTTCTCCTTGCTGCTTTCAGGCAGAGCATTTTTTTCTGCATTCATCTTTATTCTCTCTGATCTAGATGCCCAGCATCTTGCTGTTAGAATAAAGGAAAAGGTTTCCATTATTTTAGGTTTCTAATGTCTAATTAACCATGTTATAAAAGGCTGATTGAGAAAATGTCACTTGTGAGGCAGTCAGTTAAATTTAATTACTTTCAGTGTGTAGGTATTGCCAGATGTAGCTCCAATAAACTCCAGGAAGTGCTGCTGCTCTTTAATTTACCAAGATTTACTTTCTTAAAGCTTTCAGATGTGAACAAAAAATGCTATTTAGATTCAGATCTCAAAGTTATCTTCTTCAGGTTAGTATCTGTGTACACTGAATTCTGTTTTATCTAAGAACAAGGTTAGCTGGAGAAGTTTAAAGAGTGATAAAAAGCAAAAGTTGCCATATTCAAAACATTAACTGTATGTAATTAACTGGAATGCCACTCCATGAACATGTTGTAAGTAACAGGGTTAGGTTTATACTGAGCATTAAAAGCAACTTCACTGCTTAAAGTCACAAACTGGAAAGATGCTGTCTTGAAAGCACAAATGCTGTCTGTACATCACTATGGTGTTAGCCGAAGTTCCTTCATGTCCTTAGCAGCCTTTGTGTATTATTTAACAATGTACTATTTTTAATTATTAAAAACAACAAAAAAAAAAAAAAAAAAAAAACCACAAACCCAGCTGGACTACACTAGACATTGAGGGGAAAACGGGTTCCTGCAGCGCTAAACTCTTCACGGCATCGAAGAAAGAAGACGTCTTTGCTCGACGTCTTTGCTCCACGTTTGCCTAGGGGTTGAGAGAAGAGTTACAGCGTATGTCTCATCTCTGTGAGCCCGTAGCTGCCTTCATCGGCACCGTGGCTCCCAGGCGCCGTTCGCCTCTGCTTGCGGGAGCCGGGGAGCAGCGCAGGGCCACGGGGGGATCGAGAGGCGCTGAAGCCGCCCTGCTCGGGGGATCGAGAGGCCGCTGAAGCCGCCCTGCTCGGGACCGCGTTCGCCGCCTGCCCCCGGCTGTACTCGCCGCCGCCTTGGGCGCCTGCGCGGCGGCGCTGCCCGCCCCGCACGGCTCCGTCCTGGCCATGGCTCTGCGGTTGCTGCGCGGCGCGCCCGGGGCAGCGAGTAAGAGGCGGGCGGAGGGCGGGAGGGCCCGGGTTGTGCCGCGGGGGGCTCCCCGGCTCCCCTGCCCTTCCTCCCGCAGCGACTGACGAGCGAGGGGCCGGGGCGGGCGCCGCCCGGGGCTGCTGGCGCTGGGGGGGCTGGAGAGCGCCCAAGATGGCGGCGGGTGAGGAGCGTGGCACGCCCCGCCTTCTCAGCCCGCGGGGCCCGGGGGCTTTCACTGCTCTCCCCACAGCTTCCGTGGCCCTGCGGTTTCCTTGCTCTTAACCCCTTCCCTCTCGCCCTTTCGATATTAGTAGTCCCGCCTGTACTGTAAACCTGCTGCTGTCGGGCAACTCTGTTATTACGGAGGTTTTCTTGCCTTGTCATTGCTTCGTACTTCTTAAGGGCAGTGAAATGTTAAACAGTGATGTAACATTTGGAGAACAGCTGGAGGAAGCATGCTGTGGACCTGGAAGTTGCTGGTCCGTTCCCTTCACCTGAGGAAATTCAGCTGGTTTGTTTATAGAGAAGTGAGGTAGATTGGATAACAGCCTGTCCCACAGGCCTCAGCTTGGGCTGTTTGTTGGGTGCTTCCCTCTCCTCAAAAGCTGAGGTTCTGTGCTGCTATTGATGCAATACACTTAAACAAACCTGTATGTTAATGGAGGAGCTGTTAAAATTTTTTCTTAGATGTTTGTGCTCTATTTGGCTGTCAGATTCATGGCAAGATGTGGCTAATGCTCTAATCCTCTGAGCATTCCGATGTGTGCCCAAATCCCACTGCATGGATGGCTTTGTTAGAATAAATCACATGCTGTGGTCCACTTCAAAAGATAGAATATTGCAGCACAGCAACTTTAAAGAATTGGGATTTTCAACTGCAAGTTCAGTTATATCATTAATAAACTGTAGGGTATTGTGACACTGTGTAAAAGAGGAGGGAATCAGTTTGTACAACGTGGTTTACTAATGTTGATAGTTCATCTCATCTTTTTCAGAGATGTTTAATGTTGAACTTTTGTCACCTCTCTGTCGAGTGTATTTTGGTCAAGAATATCAAGTAAATCTACCAAGGAAAATGGGGTTTGCCTCTTTTCTAGTGACTGAGATAATAAATTTTATACTGGCACCTTGATCTGATTTTTATTTTAATTTGGACTAGAATACCTGCTATAATTTAATTTTCTTGCTAGCTTTTCGATTCTATCTTACTGAAGAATGACAAGAAGCTTGGCAGGAGTAGAAAGACCCAATATTTGCAGCAGATTGGATCCTTTACTGCTGTTAGTTTGTTATGCCATGCTTTACTCCTTCGGGGCATTGGCAGCAGTTGGCAGACATAATACAGTTTATGTGACTGCAGGGTTTGATATTAAAGATGTGGTATTTTGAAATGAATGAATATGCTGATTCTGGGAATACAAGTGGTTTACTAGTTGGTGTATATTAAAGTGAGTCAAATTGACAGTACTTGACAAGGCTTCCCGATTCAATCTCCTTAGGAAAGCAGAATAATATTTCTTTCAGGTACTTTGCACCCAGCTGATACAGGGAGGATTTCTGTTTGAATCTTGCTTCTTAAGAAATGTCAGAACTGCTTTAGGTATCTGTCCACAGTCAAAATATTTTTAGTGGATAGTTTATGCTTATTCTGAACATTTACATTTGGCTTTTTTAACCAAAATGTTAGTAGGAGTTTAAAGGAAAAAAAAGTTAATGCTTTTAATGATAGCATTTGTATGCAGTTACATAATTGAACTTAAACATGCTCAAAGTTTTTCCTGCTTTTGACTACCAGCTGAATTATTTTACCATCCTAAGGGAAACCCAGCTATCTTCTGCCGACATTCTGGAAAACCTGTTACTAAGGGAACATTTTGTTTTTTTAAACTATCCTTTGGGAAAGCAGAAGCTTTTTCTGACTAAAAAGCTGCTGGAAATGAGCCAAGATATGGAAATCAGCAGGTTTCTTGGGGGAGGTTAGGATTTCTCCTGGAAAACAGACCGTACTGGTCTATGCTAGCATAATTACTGTTTAAGAGTCTAAAATACAAGAAAGTAACAGCAAAGATAAGTTCAAGCAGTTTAAAATACACTGTTAGTGTGAACTGAGTTATACAACTAACACAATTTTGCCTACTTCTGTTTCCAGAGCCAAAAATAATTATCTGTGCTGATTTCTTAGGTGTTCATGAGTTGCATGTTAAGTAATTTTTAAGAGTTTGTTTTCCTGCCTTCCTCTCCCTCATCCCTCAAGTAGTTTTTTTTCAGAGGTGCTCTGGACAGTCGCAGCATTACTCAGTGTTAAACTCCCACATTTATGCTACACATGTCCATTTGCTTGATAGAGTCATCACTTCTTTGCCACTCACGAAGCAGCTCCAGCTCTAAGCAAGGAGGAAGATCTGAAACTGCTAAGCAGCCACTAAAGAAACCAAAGTTACCAGTGGGGAGGTTTGATGAACCAGAAGAGTCCAGTATGGAGAGGGAACCCCTGGAAAGTAAGTAGTGTTTTACAAAATTGGAAGCTGTGTTTTAAAGGCAAGACTGCAATGTGCTGACGTCAGTTTAAGACAGTGACAGACATTCAGCACTCTTTAGAATCATTTTCTAAGCTTACTGGTTCTGAAAAACAAACCAGAGGCAGGGCGGTGGAGCAAATGGTGCACCAGAGGGGAAGAACCTTCAGAACAACTGTGCTCAAACCTTGTAACAAGTCTCACAGAAAACCTGGGCTTCCTCTGCTCTTGAAGATAAGCAAATTTGCCTAGGTGTCCTGACTTAGTACCAGCCCTGCCTTTAGCAGGGGTACCTTCCTCTAAAACAGGCTGCTCAAAGCCCAGTCCAGCCTGGCCTTGAACATTTCCAGGGATGGGGCATCCACAGCTTCTCTGAACAACTTGTTGCAGTGCCTCACCATCCTCACAGTAAAGAATTTCTTCCTAATAGCTAACCTATAACCTACCCTCTTTTATTTTAAAGCCAGTCTCCCTTGTCCTGTCACTACCTGCCCTTGTTAAAAGTCCCTCTCCAACTTTTTTACAGGCCCTCTTCAGGTACTGGAAGGCTTCTAAAAGGTCTTCCCAGAGTCTTCTCTTCTGCAGGCTGAAGAACCCCAATTGTCTCAGTCTTCTCTCAGTCTGTCTTAATAGGAGAGGTACACCAGTCCTGTGATTGTCTTAGTGGCCTTCTCTGGACTTGTTCCAACAGGTCCACCTCTTTTTTTGTGTTGGGAACTTCACAGCTGAACACAGTACTCTGGGTGGGGTTTGGGTTTTTTTGTGGTTTTTTTTTTAAAAAACAAGTATTTATGATAAAAGAACTTTCAAAGAGGCAATGCAAAGAATAACTTTTAACTATTTGCGGCAAATTAAACACAAGCTGCTTCTACCCAACATTTTTATGAATTAAGCATTAACCAGTTGTTGATGGAATATTTTCTTCTCATACTTCTATATACAGAATATATTCTGCCTTACCATGTATATAGGAAGTCAAGTCTGAAAGCACTAACATCCTGAGGAGAAGAAATGCAGACTGATCTATAGTCTCCAAAAGGAAGGCAGCAGAGTGCCATTGGAAGCAGAATTTCCTTCATCTGTAGACAGTACTTCATGAAATCCTACAAACACATTAATGTGCCCTTCTGTACAGTGGTAATTGCTTCAATTCTTGGGATGTAGCCTTGGATAAACTTGGATAAAGTAATTTTCCAGAACTGGATGTGATACTGTCTCACAAGAGCAGTGCCACTCACTTCCAAAAAACTGAAAGGTGGCGTGGCTGTCACATCTGTCAGGGGCTCCATATTCAACATCCAGGCAAGCCAGTGCCATGCATAGTTCAGTCCATGGGGATGTGCCCCTGGGGTTGTGCCCCTTCTTTAATTCCATAAGGCCTGCAGAGTTGAATGATAGCAGCATAAAGATTAATTATTCCTTACATTCATTTAAGAAACTAATCATGTTCTTCCACCTTAGAATCCTAATTTCATATCCAAAATCCTCAGATACTCTTTCACAGAAGTCCCCTCTTTTCATACAGGCTAAAATGGCACTTTTTTGTGCAGCAGAACTGAAAAAAGGAGCAGAACTCTCCTACTTGAGAGTGTATTACCCAGAGGCCACCACAGCCATTGGGAAAGCTGCATCACGGTGAAGAGCTGCTTCTGCTTCTCCTTCTTTCACAAATTTCTCTGCAAGTTTGTCATTGTATTGTTGTATTATTCTTGTATTATAGAATCATCTCCATGCAATTTCAGATTGTGGCTCACTTGAGAAAAAACTCACAGTTGGAGTTGCTGTGTAAGCAGCTGTTTAATTCTCATCTTTTTATTCCCAGGAAAATCAATGCCATCACTGCTTAGTTTAAAACATGCATAATCAATATATTTTGTTATTTGCTTAGGTGTTCCAGGTTTGGAGCAAGACTCAAGGTCTCTTTAGTTGCACCTGTATTTTTTACGGGTAACACTAGCAATAGTTTGCATACTGCCTGTTGTATTACTAGGAAAAAGCTAAGAGTTGAAGCTGGATTTAGAATTTACACTGCTCTGTAGCTGTCATGGAGAAATCTTTTGAACATCTGCATCCACTGTCAGCATATGAGTAGTGCTTTGATGTTGACATGTACAAAATAATATCAGGTGCATTCACACCCCTTGTACTGCCAGAGGTGCTCAGATACTGATGCTTCTTTTCCTGGTTGGCATCAGTTATGAAACAGGTATCCCACTGTGTCATCCTGTATAGCCTGTAGCTGTATGAGTTTCCTCCCTCAAATTTCTTTTTGTCTGCTGTCCAGAATTTCTGTTGTTGTCTTTTCTCATTTTCAGCTTTACATCTCATTACCTGTGTTGCCCACCCAGGCTGAGTTAGGGATATGACTGGGGGACTCCCACATTAGGTGTATATGTGGGAAGCTCTGGAGAATCAGTGTGGCAAGGGGCATGTGGGGCACTGTGAGTTTCTGGGAGCCCTGCAGTCTAGCATAGGATGAGACTCAGCCAAGAATGGTGCTATGCCACAAGTACTTTGTGGCTTGATGGCCTGAGTTAACTATTCTTAGGAGATGGCCCTGAGTAAAGGTGCACTGAGTAGTGTAAGAATGTTGGCTGAGGTACAGAAGGCTCTGTGGTGTTTAAGAAAGTGGCATGAGCTGGCAGTGTGCTTCCCTTTTGTAGCAGAGTAGGGCGTTGGATGAAAAGCTGAACATGATCTGGCAGTGTCATTGCAGCCCAGAAAACCACGTCCTGGACTGCATCAAAAGCAGCGGGGCCAGCTGGTCAGGGGAGGCGATTCTCCCCCTCTGCCCTCATGAGACCCTACCTGGAGTGCTGCATCCAGCTGTGCAGTCCTCAGCACAAGAAAGGCATGGACCTGTTTGAATGGGTCCAGAGGAGGGACATAAAGATCATCAAAGGGCTAGAGCATCTCTCTTGCCAGGACAGGCTGAGAGCTGGGGTTGCTCAGCCTGAAGAAGAGAAGGCTTTGGGAAAATCTAATTGTGGCCTTCTGATGTCTAAAGGGCGTTCAGTACCTTAAGGGGTGTATAAAATGTAGGGAAGGAGTTTTTGTACAAGCAGATAGTGACAGGATGAGGGGCAGTGGTTCTAAACTGAAGGAAGGCAGGCTTGGATTAGATGTTAGGAAGAAACTCTTTACACTGAGGGTGGTGAACCATTAGAACAGGCTGCCCAGGGAACCTGTGGGTGCCCCATTCCTGGAAGTGTTCAAGGTTAGGTTGGATGGGTCAGCCATCCAACTTGGATGTTTTAAGTACAAGACTAACAAAATCTTGACTAAAATTCAAGCTAAAATTAAAACAGAGTACTTAAAATTAGAGAGGTAAACAGCAAGTAATACCTGGGGTTTTAGATTTCTTGAACATAAGTACAGTGTACCTGAATGACTGAAGTTCTGACTTGAGAAGCTGTGGTGCTTTAATGCCTCTGGACATTCAGTTGCTTCTTTATTTGCATAATAAATAGTATAATATTATATCTATATTTGTATCTAGACATAAATAATATATATGATAATATATATTGCAGTCAAAACCTGAAATTATTTTGTAGGGCTCTTGTAGGGCTCTGGGGAATATTTAGCTCAATGTTGCCTGTCAAAACAAAAAAGAATTTATTTTGTCTTTGAAAATGAAACTAAAAGGAAAACATCATAAATGATAACATCTTTATATTTGTCAACATTATAGAAATTTTAATGACCTTTACCTGTTATTTTAGAATTCCCGGATGGAATCAATCCTACTACAAAAGAGAGGGGTGGACCCAGAGGGCCTGAACCTACACGTTTTGGAGACTGGGAAAGAAAAGGACGTTGTATAGATTTCTAATATTTAAATGTCTGTATTGCTAATAAAATATTTGAGGTTGCTAAAAAATATAATGTACAGAAAAAAAGTCTCACCTGGATTTGTCGTGAAGCTTATTGTTTCTGTCATGCCACCACATTCTGTCATGTGATGAATTTTCTTAATAATGCAATGTAATTAAACACAGTGCTGCAGCTCAGATTATGGAGCTGTTAGTGGCTCAATGTCTGCCTGATCTTTAATACTATTTACACTGTGCAAGTATAAATGCAAGTGTAGTGGTGTGAAATTGGTAGTCAGGAGCTTATTGAGATATATAAGGACTTGTATTTCTTAATGTATGTAAAGATTTATGTGGTGGTGTAAAATTGTTGAAAGAACTTTGCATTTCATGAACCTGAACACCATTCATCAAAGGTAGAACCAACTCTGAGATTAGTGGGTTACTGATTTCATACAGTGGTTCCCTGGTAAAAGCCCCTTTACTCAAGAGCTTTCCCTCTGTCCCTATTGCAGTGGGTTGGGTGTTTTTTCCTGTTCCTGTAGGGAAGGGACAGTCTTATCTCTGAATGAGGACTGTAAGTAGCACAATGGAAATGGAGACTTAAATTTTGGAGAGGGTCAGCTCTTGATTGCAAGTAGTGTTGAGGTGCTCTATTTGCAATTCTAGAATGCTGGCCTTTATCACCTGTCTTCATGCTACTTGCATTATCTTTTCTTTTGTAAGTGGAGGTGCCCTTTTGCACATGGGCTAAATGCTGCTTGGGAAAAATACAGCATTACTGTCTGAAACCTTATGTTCAAAGGGGACACATTCCATTAGGTAATCTAATATTGCAGGTCTTAAAACTAAGTTATCTGGCATCAAACTAAATATCTTCCAGTCAGACTGAGCTCAGTTCTTGATTCAAGAATTTGCCTAGTCGTAAGTACTGTAGTGGAGTAATAGTAGAGTGTAAATATACCACTTGTGTGGTTACTTACTAATGAGAGTAAGTTGTCACTATTGAAATGTGAACATGTGCTCTCTTTCTGTGCAAGTTCTTTTTGGTAGCCTGAACAAATGGATTTTCTCTAGTCACAGAATTAGAAAAAGGTGTAGGCTTTGCCCAGCTTTGCCTTTGCATGGTTTAACTTAACTCGAACATTAAAGTGTGTTGGTCTTGTCACAAATCTGAGTAGCCTCCCCTAAGCTCACTTGACTGGCAGCCAGTGGGGGAGCTCCTTGTTGAAATGTGACAGTTTGTATATCCAGATGTGTACCTGTATGTGTATCTGTATGTTAGAGACATAGTCTTGCTCTAGTTGTGAGTTTGGATGTTTGTCTCACTGTGATGATGCCCTACAAAAGTACTGAACCTATTCAGTTACAGGTTTATCAACCAAATATCTCACAGACAAGAAAAATGAGATTAATGAAAGCCTGTTTCTCATGAAAGGTGTTAATTAGTGGTAATTTGGAACCTTTCAATTCTGCAGCATGGCTTGGATATTGGAAAATTGGTTTGTATTTATATGTGATTGATTCTGGTTTCCCTTCTGTATAGTGACAGATCTTTTAAAAATCTGTTGACATTTTCAGTTACCTAAAGATAGGCTGGGTCAGCTGTCTTTTATTCGTTAATTATTTCTAGTGATGTTTTGCCTTTTCAGTTGCTGGTATATTGGAAAATACTTTCTCACACAACACATCACCTTTTCAAATAGGAAGTGGAAATTTTAGTTGGAAGCTTGTGCCTTTTCTGCATCATTATTAATAGGCTTAATATCTTAATCTGCAAAGAAGCAGTAAAATACTGCAGTTATTTTATTTTTTAATTCTTAGTCTTTGTCATGGATTGTTGCATTACTTCATTATCTTCTCATACCAGGTTTTACCCTTCCCAGCACACACTCCATGAATGTTTACGTAGTTGCACTTCTTGGCATTCCTGATTTTCAAATCTAATTAGTTTCCTCAGTTCTGACTGCAGGTGCATTCCTCCCTGGGTGCAGACTTACACTTTGATACAGCATAAGAAGAACTGGTCTCACATTTCCATAATTTTCCTTACATCTCAGTTGCTTACCTTCATTCTCCCTCAGCTTTGTGATTACGGGCTGACCCAAGTGCTGCCCAGGTTGCTGCTGCTTTCATGCAGGTGATGACTGCTGCTGTCAGAGCTCAGGCAGCTCCTAGACACTCCATGCCCAGTATCCAAGATGTACCTGGATTTTGAAGATGATTTTGAGAGTGCTAGCATCTTACCAGTAGGACAGAGTATCTCATAAAGGCAGGGATTTTGCTTTCCTGCAAAAATCAGAATCACAGATAATTTAGGTTGAAAGAGATCTCTAAGATCACCAAGTCCAACCGCTGCCAAGTCTGCCACTAAATCATGTTCTGAGTGCCACATCTACACATCTTTTAAATACTCCAGGGATGGTGACTCAGCTGCTTCCCTGGGCAGTCTTTTTTAAGCTTGACAGCCCTTTTGTTGAAGACTTTTTTTTCCTAAAATAAAAAGGCTGTTTTTAACCCATGTTATAAATGGCTAAAAAGGAATTGGTGCATGGGAAATAGAGGATACCCCTTCAGTCTTGAGCAACTTCAAGCCTTTTTACCGCCTTCCAGGCTGGTGCTGGTAACCAAATATTTGCTTAACTTGTTTATGGAATGTGTCAATAAGACATAGGAAACTGAACATATAAGCAAAATAATATGTAAGAGTCAAAGTGTGAATGTCAAGGGGCCCTCTTACCTTGTCTGGCAATCTGGCATTTACCAAAATGAGGAGCCCTGGGCTGCAGTAACAGTTAAGCACAAAATTCTATGGTGCTGCAAAATCTCTCGTGGTACCTGTCAAAAGTCATCAGGGACTGAATGTAATAAATGACACAATGATATTATAGGGTACAAACAATAATTTCTCTTTGTTTTCTTGCAGTGCCAGCAGTTAGGAAAGCAGCACTTCAGCACTTTTTCGGAGCGGTCTTCCTGCTCTTCCCAGATAATTACTATTAGCAATTTACTGGAATTTAGCATTAGGGTAAGAAAATGGCTTGGGGCATTAGCTATTAGATCAGCCATAGATACGGTTTTATCATGAATACTGATTGATTTTTTTTAGCTCTTTTTGTTAGTATAAACAGTGAAGAGCAGCAGGGGCTGTATCCTAACATTTTCTGTTAACTTTCTTTGAAACAAAGGAAAATTGTTCCCTGTGTGTAAGCAAATTCTTGCAGTATTGCAGGATGCTTGCTGCTCTGTTTTGTTTAATAAAAATCTGTATGTTGTGTTTCTGCAGTAGGTTTTCTCTTTTAAACTTGTTTCTGCTACTTGGCATAGATGCATTTGGTACATTATTAAAATTATGAAGCCCTTATTATTTGAAGGAATTGTACCATAATTACTCTATTTCAAAATACATGAAGTTTCAATTTACAGTTAAATATTTGCTATATATTGCCTTGTTTAGAAAGTATGTATTTCAGTGTTGATTTTATTAAATTGAAACACAGGATGCATAATAGAATCACAGTAAAATTACCTGTGATGGTAGCGTATGTTTGTAAAGCACCACAGACTGTTGTTATAAATCTTTACTACATTTTCAGTTGACTGCAATAAATGATGACAAATTCCAGTGGTCTGTAGTGACAGATAAATTAAATGCCTTTTTATGACCCTTATTTTGGTATTCTTATTGAAAAAGCACCACACCATCTTGTTCTGAAATGTCAGGAAAAGGAGGAAAACAGCATTCATTTCTAAGAGAAGCAGTTTTGGTAGTTCTGTCTTTTTGTAATTGTTCATGAGTATCAAGGTATAACATGGTATCAGATATATCAGAACATAAGGAAATGGTTTGAAATGTGTTTCCATGTGCTGATGGAGATCAAAACCATGCACATTAGTGGTCACTTTCTTGCTTTTGTAAAATGCAATATAAAATACCTTTGCTTAGCTGGTGGTCAGTGTTTCATACCAGACCAGCTGAGATGTGCAGGCTACATTCTAATGTGAGTATAGCTGTGCTCCCTCTTCCAGCTCCAAAACTGCTGCTTGTTTAGGGGTAGTCATGTGTAATCTTCTAAAATACTTTTATTGCAGAAAGGGTGTCCCAGTAGAAGTTGAATCTTAGTTACAAGATGGCAAATCCTGAGAAAAGGGCGCTATTTAAAATGAGTGCTCCGAGGAGCGGAGCTAATGAAGTCCTGTTTCCTATGAATGTCTGACACCCCCTGCAGCTTGAGCATCTTTCCTCATGTTCCTGTGTTGATTGACATTATCTCCACTAGGCCAGGGGCATCTTTCTGCCCATCTTTTCTCCCTGAGAGGAGTTATTTGGACCTCTTTCCCAGCCTGATTCCACAGAGCTTTCAATAGCTTAATTCTCTTAATGTCTCTCCTTGACACCTTTTCAAAATAGGTTGGAGTTACTGACTTTTGAAGTGTGGGGGCAGTGCAGATATTGGCCTCCCATCCTTTGGAAAACAAGCTGCTGAATAACTCTGACCATATGTATTTTCTTCAGAAATACTCAGCATCTCTCTGCATTTTTTTGCTGTGAGAATGGAATTTTTTTCCCCTCAAATAGCATCAGAAGCGCCATTTAAAGCTTGCAGCAGGAAAGTCTTTGACATGCATTCTCCAGGCATTAAGTCTCCCAGTCAGCTACAGCCTTGTGCCTTTAAAAAAAAATCACATATCTTAATGTTGCCATTTTTAGGGTGAGAGTGTTCAAAGAAGCTTTTTAAGGTCCTTACTTAATACATTAATTTATATTAAAGCTGACGTACACAGCCCATCAAAACACAGCTGTAATTCTCAAATGTTAGCCTCTGACAAAAGTCAGGTGAGCTATGCAGTGGTGGTCAGGTTAATTCTAGAACAGATATTTAACTATAACTAACTTATTGTTTTAAACTTCAGTGACTTATGTAGCCATCTGTGCTTCCTTCCTAGTTGTAGTTCAGGGAGATACCTCTAAAAGGTAGTCTTGTCTCAGTGTGGGGAGAGTTTGTCTTTACAGGTGGTGAATGGGGGTGTTTTAAGGGCATCCTCCCTACTGACTTTAAAGGCTTCCTAAACAGCTGTCCTAAGTAAGATGCATTAGGTGTCAGTGCCCTGCTGGTGACAAGGGAAGCCAGGGTGTCCCTGAACATGAGTGTGAACTACTCACTTCCTCAGAGGGGGAGGGCTGCAGTGAGGCAACAGGACCTGCAGTGCTTTTGCTGCCTG